TGAACCATGAGAAAGAAAGTATGATGCAATGCTACACAAACACTCCATGCTTTTGAAGACACTGAGACCAGCATTCTCTTGCTGAGCCTCCAGATGAGATCTTGAATTGCACCAGTAAATTACAATAATAGAAATAAACGTGTCTGGCTTCTAGAAAGAGTAAGGCATGGCCACAGGCTGTTTATGAATTTTCAGTTTTTCTACATTAAAAAGTGAAAAAGATTTTCAGAAGACACTTCAAATAGATGGCAGGGGACAGTAGCCTTCTTTCAGATCTGCCCAACTCTCTCACTACACAAGTGCTCTCTTCCTCCTTGGCTAAGCCTCAAAGTTTGTTTTAAAGAGCAAAACCAGCTGTACCTCCCATTTCAAGATGGTATCACGAGTACTTGTTTTGCCTGGGGGTATCCAAGGGGCCTTAGTTTTCACCCTCACAGCGCGCACACCGTCCCCTTTAGATTTCTGTTTGTGCTTTTGCTAAAGAAAGAGAAAATAAAATAAATTACAGACCCTTAAAGAACCATTTGCAATTTTTAGTGCTGCAAAACTAAATGAAAGATCATTCATAAAGAACTATCAGTAGAGCTTCACAGGATGCATCAGGTGAGATGAGTAGCAGCCATCAAAGGAAGCTGACACCAGCTAGAAGAAAAGGTTATTGCACATTCAGCTGAGAGGATGGCTGGATGTAGGTTCTGACAGATCTCTGGGAGATCCCTTCTTCATCCCAGATTCACCTCACAAAAAAGTAGCTATATCATTTGATACCATGATCGATTTTGGAAAGCCCTGGAAGTGTTTTCCTTACTCTGTAGTCAACTAGAAGATGCACATTTATTTGTATTGAACTTGAGCTGCTCTAATTCAAGGAGAGTTAAAGTGTTTTTGCACAATTCAAACCACAGAGAAAAATCAGATGCTGTAAACATTCCCTACTGGTGATTAATTCATAGGACTCATTATTTTCACTGTCATTCCATCCCATTATGAAATCTGCCATTAGCAACAAACACAGAATTAATAGAAGACTTAGAACAGGATGTCTGTAGATAAGGAAGAATGAGATAGCAACTTCCATCAATTTTTTAGAACAACTTTCCATAAATATCCAGCAAAAAAAGAGGGTATGGGATAGCTAGAATCTCAGCTTCAGTTTTGCCTTGTGCCTCCTGTGGAAGTGGAAGAGATCTTCTTGGCTGCAGAGCTCAGTGGACAGAGAATGTCCTTAACGTCAGAAGATGGTCTCAATCAAGATTCTTTTTCTATGCACATTTATTTGAATACAATCAAGATACTACTTGAAATGCCTAAGTACTATCTCTCCTCAAAGCTTTCCTCCAAAAACAGATATGAAGACAAATACAAAACATTATCAGACACAGACCCAAGAAATAAAAGGGAAAAAATCCACCAAATGATATCACGTTGGAAGCAACATTTCTCACATGAGCATGAAAAGCAATTTAAAATCATCTTTCAACAAATCAACATAGCAAATGTGTCACTGCAAATTCACCACTGAATATGAAATGAAGTCTCACAGCTCTAATACAACAGTAGAACAGACCTGGAAGACTTTGTGATGCTTCTAGGGCCATTCACCTTCTCTGCAGCCCTTACAAGCAACCAGGTACACACTCCTACCTGGCATTTTGCAGGTGTGGTTTTCTGCCCCTTTTTAATATGGACATGGACAGGGGTGTTTTCATCCACATGGACGTGCAAAGGGGGAGATGAGGAACGGTTCTTCATGGCTGTTCTCCCACAAATGGGAAAGGGAAATACAATGAAGGGAAACCTGTGAATAAGGAAATTGGAAATAACAACATTTCCTTCAGTGTTCAGAGAGAAACAGAGGCCAGCCTTGGTTAACATTTGAGCTTTGTATCAGTAGCATCTGCCATTTTGAACTTCACACTATTCTTCTGTAAAGCCAGGAATAACACAAATAATTCCTCTGCTTCCAATATTTTCTGCTTTTAACCTGGTTACTGAAGATCAAACACAGCTGGATCAATATCAGGTGTCTGTAAGAATCATTGAAGTTCAAATACAGCAACTGAGCAAATCAAGGGTTCCCATAACCAACAAAATCTGATTACAAAGAGAAATTTGAAGCAGGGAGAAGAGGAGAATTAATTGAACAGTTAAGAAAAACCATGAGGAAATCATCAGACCAATCCATCCTAGAACCCTGAACCTGTATCCTTCTTCATAAGTGCTTAATGTTGAGCATCTTTTTTAAGCAGAAATCCTTAAAAGCCATTGCATCACAGCATTTCTTTAATCACCACAGAAACACATAACCATAACCTGACACAACACAGAAAAGCCTAGAGACACAAGGTTCAGGTCATCATCTTGGAGCCTCAGTTGATGTAAAGGCATAACACAATTGGAAATCTTACACAAAGCCACCGGCAGCACTAATCTGATTCTGGCAGAAAGGATATTGTCAGCCTAGGTAAAGTTACTTACAGCTACTTTCAAGCCTTTGACTTTCTTGCACACAGTCTTGGGCGTAGAGGAACGTTCTCCGTGGCAAGATGAGATACACCTGGTACAGAAATAATAAAATGATTCAGAGGAAAAAATGCCAATTTCTGAACATCTTCTTCCTTTTGATCTAAGAGAATATCAAGGCTCAAACATATCAAGTGCAAGAACGCAAACAATAAAAGTTGGTGTGCCCTAGTTTTCTCTCTAAAGCACAGGATGAGGGAAGGACAGACTATAATTCCTACTGACAGTGGAAATTGTTTTAAACAGTGGAAATGCTTTGTACAATTACATGATGGCACTATTCACTTACAAACTTTCAAATTCGAGCTGCGATTTTTAAGGAGCACAGCAGTACTTCCTTTACTTCAGGAAGCGGACAGGCACCGACAGCGCCTTTGGATCACCACGAGCGACAACCAAACGTGACTGTGCCTCCTTAGCAACGAGGCTCACTCGTACGTGTTAATTCCTCCTGCAATCTCTGCAGGTTCTCCAGGGACTCTGTGGTCCCTCAGGCTGGCGGAGACGCGGTCGGTGGTTGCTGGCAGCCCCGAGCCGGGCGGGCCTTCAGCCGGCGGGGCCCGGCCGCTCCAACGCCCGCCCGCCCCGCGCCGTTACCCGAGCCCCGCGGCCGCCGGCCTGCCCGCACGAAGGAGCCCGCAAGGCCGGGAAGGAAAAATCCCCCGCGATCCGACCTCGCCCACACGGCGAGGGGACACACAAACGGCGAGGAGACACCCTCCAAGGCAAGGGAACGCCCACACGATGAGGGGACACCCCACAGGGCGAGCCCCCCGCTGCCGTCCGCAGTCGCGGCGCTCTCACCAGGAGCGCGGGGCTCGCAGCGCCTTCAGATCCCTGTCCACACGGCGAGCGGCGCAAGGGCGGCCGTGGGCCGAGCTCTGGGCACCTTGTCCGCACCAGGGACAGGAGGAGCGGCCGCAGGGTCCCGGCCGCCGTCGCCGGCGCGCCGCCCGCGGCTCCACCATTGGGTGATTCGAACGGCCCTGAGCGGCGGTAACCGCCCCCGGTAACCGCCCGCAGCCCGGCGCGAGCGGCCGAGCCGCCGCCCCCGCCACCGGGCACCGGGCACCGGGCACCGGGCACCGGGCACCGGGCACCGGGCACCGGGCACCCCGGGCACCGGGCACCACCGGGCACCCCGGGCACCGGGCACCCCGGGCACCGGGCACCACCGGGCACCGGGCACCCCGGGCACCACAGACCACCGAGCATCCCCGGGCACCGGGCACCCCGAGCACCGGGCACCCCCGCCACTGGGCACCCCCGGGCACCGGGCACCGGGCACCCCCGGGCACCCCGGCCACCGGGCACACCGGGCACCGGGCACCACCGAGCATCCCCGGGCACCCCGGGCACCGGGCACCCCCGGGCACCGGGCACCCCCGGGCACCGGGCACCCCTGGGCACCCCCGGGAACCCCCGGCCACCGAGCACCCCTGGCCACCCCCGGGCACCGGGCACCCCCGGGCACCGGGCACCACCGGGTGCTGAGCACCCCCAGGCACCCCCGGGCACCGGGCACCCCCGGGCACCGGGCACCACCGGGCGCCGAGCACCCCCAGGCACCCCCGGCCACCGGGCACCCCCGGGCACCGGGCACCACCGGGCGCTGAGCACCCCCAGGCACCCCCGGCCACCGGGCACCCCCGGGCACCGGGCACCACCGGGCGCCGAGCACCCCCAGGCACCCCCGGCCACCCCCGGGCACTGGGCACAACCGAGCACCGGGCACCACTGAGCATCCCCGGGCACCGGGCACCCCCGGCCACCCCCGGCCACGCACACCGCATCGCGGCCCCCTCAGGAGTGGCCGCGCATCCGCACAGAAATGGGGAGGTCTGAAAAGAGGATTAAATAGCTGGATTAATAAGTCAGTTTTCTTGGCATTGCCTTTGAGTCTTACCGTCTTTTTACCGTTTTGCTGTCTTAAAGGTGACACCAGAATTGTGTACAGAGCCACTTTTACTGTAAGCTGTTAACCAGATTTGTGTGCAGTTCTGGCCGTCCCCAACACAAGGACATGGAAATGTTGGAGATCACGAAGTTGATAGGGGATTGCAGCACCTTCCCTGTGAAAACAGGCTGAGAGAGTTGGGGCTGTTCAGCCTAGAAAAGAGAAAGGTTGTGTGGAAACCTCAGAGCACCTTCCAGGATCTGAAGGGGGCTACAGGAAAGCCAGAGAGGGACTCCTCATCAGGAACTGTAGTGATAGGACGAGGTGAAAATTGAAAGGGGTAATTTATGTTAGATATTAGGGAGAAATTCTTCCCTGTGAGGGTGGTGAGACACTGACACAAGTTGCCCAGGCAGGCTGCGGATGCCCCAGTCCTGGCAGTGCTCAAAGTCAGGTTGGATAAGGCCTTGAGCACCTGTCTAGTGGAAGGTGTCCCTGCCCATGGCAGCAGAGGTTGGGAGTAAATGATCTCTAAGGTCCATTCCAATCCCTTAAAAATCTAAGACTCCATAAAAGGTGATACAAAATCCTGAAACAATCTTTATTTAATGTAATATTATTGGCATGTTAGTGTTATGGATATTCATCTTGAGATGACTGATTCACGTAGCACAGCACAGCAAGAAGTGGAATCACTGAGCCCTTGGTGCTTCAGATCCTCATTTAACATGAAAATCTTCCTCCCTCTCAGGTTGAGGTGGATGCTGAAATTATCATCAAGGGTTTTTCAACCTCCTGTTTATGCATGCTCAATATAATTCTTTAAAAGAACATTGCCTGATGATACTGTGGAACACAAGTTTCAGTACAGAACAGTTTAAAGAAATACAAGTCAGAGCAGCCATGCAGCCATTTGTACTGTAAACATTTTCTTTCTCCCTTCAATGTCAGATCATAACTGAATTTGGAATTAGTCTTCCATTCAGAAAAAACCCAAACCTCTATCACCACCATTGTTATAACCTCCCTGAACACACATTGGGCAAGCACTTGTATTACAGACCAACTTCAGCTGCACCTGAAATATCACAACAAATCAGATTCCCTGAAACCTGCCTGTTCTTCCAGGGAAACAGAACTTAAGCAGAGTGGTAGTTAAGGATACTTGGGCTGTGCAGAGGATCACTCACATTTGAACCTGCATTGTCTCTTGCTATGAAAAATATGGTTTCTGCAGCTAGAGAGGGCCTTTGACAAGGGGCAGTGGCTTCTCCTGTGAGGATGGGGAGGCACTGGCACAGCTTGACCAGAGAAGCTGTGGCTGTCCCATCCCTAAAAGTGTTCAAGGTCAGGTTGGACAGGGCTTGGAGCAACCTGGCCTATGGCAGCGGTTGGAGCAAGATGGTTTTTAAGGTCCTTTCCAACCCAAACCATTCTATGATTCTACCCAGCACAACTCGGAAGACTTAGCTGCAGGTACAGCTCCTAATCTGACTGCGAAATCAGCAATCCTTTGTTACTCTTGCATGATAGAAACATCTAGAGATCCCCTGGCCATGCAGATGGCTCTTAATCCTTTTTTTCCTAAAACAAGAACAAACTGATCCTCAGGGATATTCCAGAGGTATCTCATGCAAAACAAGCCTTTCCAATAACTGCTCTGCATTTGCGATTTCATTGTAGGCCATGTTCTTTGGGTGTAAAGGGTAAAATAAGAACTCAGATCTCACAAAGGGGACAGAATAAAGCCAGCCTTTATCCTTGCAGAGCGTACAGAATCAAATCCTGAGAGAACCGTTTACATGGAAGAGTGAAAGCAGATGCCTTGCTGAGCGCAGCCTCACTGCTGTCAGAGGAAGGGTGCCTTCTCCAGAACTGCAGATTCCTCCCGTTCCCTTAGCACTAGGTTTACAAGATTTTATTGCAGGAAATATTGTTACTTAAAAACCAGTATCCAGTGTCTCAGTCAGGAAAACATGTCAGCTGACATGGATGAGTAGCAGGAGACAGCCTGAGGCAAAAGCTGGTCAGGTCTACCACATGTGACACAGCCATAACACCAGCCACGAGCATCCTGCTCTTACAGTAGCCTGCTCTGAAGATATCTCTTCTCTGAAAGAAGCCTTTTTGCTGCATTCTCCAGTTCAGAGCATCTCCTTTCCAGCAGCATCCAAAATCCCTTTCTTTTACCTGTCCCCATCCTTCTACAAACACCCAGTTGGACTTCTCTCTCACAGCGACTTGATGTTCTGAACAGGGTGGTCTCTGTGCCCACATGTCAGTCCATTAGGTGTAATCAGTCAACTCTAAAAATAAAAGCCATTTCTTCTGAAGTTTTCACCATGCAAGTACTTCAGGGAGGCAGCTGCAGCTGGCATCAGATTGCAACTCCAGTTTTTTCAATGACTTCTTCCATGCGCTGGTACCAAGGTTGAATTTTGGTGTGAACCATCATGTCATCAAAGGCTTCCAGCCCTTCCATGACCCGGAGTACCCCGTACACTGCCTGTGTAGAGCAGAGAGGTCAGAACAACACTGAAAAAGCAGTGGAAAACGGCTTAAGGTACAAGTGTCCTAACAGCCAAGCTAGGATGGCTCTACCTTCTGTCCTGCCATATGATCCATCCTTCTGATTAGCAAGGAGGAGTGAATGGCAGAAAGGGAATTAAGAATATGTTTTTCCATGAGGAAAGAGTATGGAAGGATCAGGATCTATGTGCAGTTATTAGGCAAGTCCCCACCATGTGGGAACTGTATTACTGCACAAAAGACAATGTATTTCATATAGCTCAACTTCTCTGCCTGTACTTGTATTAACCATTTTATAGAGAGGAGCAGCAGGATAATTTGTGATCCACCTGACAATAACCACAGGGATGAAACCCTTACCAGGTCAGCGAGGTTTGGCTGGTTCCCGCCCATGAACAGTCGATTTTTGCCAACAGCTTTCACCCACTCATTAACTGCTTCATACAAATCTTCTCGGACATCATCTCGAAGCTGGTGTCTGCATAAAGAGAAGAATCAATTTGAAGACACAGGTTTGTTTCTTTTTTTAACCTTCTATCACCTCTCACCTTATGGGATGGTCTTGGTTTGCAAGTAAGGGCAGTATTTCAGAGTGAAGGGGCAGTCAGTAATTAAATAGTGGGTGAGTAGAGGGGTTCAGTACCTCCAGTTACAGAAGTACAGTTGTTACTCATACAGGATTAAATGCTTCAGTTTAAAACTCTGAGGTTCTGCCCTTTGACAGCTGGAGTTTACAGCTAAGGAGGTACTATTTCTCCTCTTGTGGACTTGGTGCTTAGTGATACCAACCTTTTCTTCAGCCTCTTGCTTACGAAGAACATGGCAACAGCCCCCACGTATTTGGCAAAGAGACCTTCCAAGGTGCCAAACTTCCCCTCACGGACAATGTAATCAAAGGATGCCAAGGCTTCTTTGGGGGTGCGGTAAACATTGGGGGAGATGAGGTGAACAAGCCAATCATCTGCCCATTTTCTCCACTTCATTTCTTCCCTATGAGCAGTCAAAAGAAAGTTTTCAGTGAACGAGGTTAATACAGATAGAAGGGCTACAGGAGGCAGGATCACAGTTGCCCTAGCCAGAGACTCTTCCAAGATCACTCTTACCCAGGTACTCTGCTGACCTCTCTAAAATGCACTCAGCATCGTTATCTTTGGCAAGACTCCTCCAATCTCAAACTGAATTTAAAACTAAGATAGAGTATTAAGTTCTCTGCCCAATATGAGAAATAGAACAGGAAGTGAAACCTTCCCTCAGTAACAATCCTCTGTGGCACAAAGGAAAGGCCAAGAAGGAAAGTCTAGGTAGCTGAAGGCCTGTGTGACCATGGTGGTGGTAACTAGGCTAACAGTTTGGAGAGCTCAGAAACTGAAGAGACCTTACACTCTCACTTCTTTGACAGGATAGACTCTCTTGGTCTCCTTCTCATCCAGCATGAGCCAGTATTTATTCTCATACTCAAGCACCTCCTTGCCTTGCTCAGTCACCGTTTTAACAGCTGGATAAAAGGACACAATTTCTTCTAAGCTATTCCTCCTGTGAAAAGAAACACAGCACTGATCAGGCTCTTACAAAAAAGGAGCAAGAGCAAAGGTCAGATTGAAAGATACACACTATAAAATGTATTATTCTAAAAGTAAGTGCACAATGTTCCAGATTCTATTTGGAAAAGAAAGAGACTGGAACAGCTACTTGCAAATAACTATTATTAGTGCACATAGCTATGTCTGTGGCAGAACAGAAATTTCTGCAGGCATAAAACTTCCTACCATTCTCAAGTAGACCTAAAGTACAGGCCATAGGCACAGCAACGGCATTTCATTCTAGGTATCATAACTGGCTAATTGTAAGCTCAGTTCCAGGACTAACACTAGTCCATATTTAAGTAGATTTTGTGCAAAAAAATCACACAGATGAGAAAGTGCTTCTGAAAGGTACAAGCTTTGCTGTACATCACACACATCACAACACATATAGGCCCCACCCAGGTGCTTATCACAGCAGAGCTTCAGAGCCTGAGGTCAGCAAGAGACTTACAGCACACTCAGAGTCTTCTAAATCTCTACTTAACCTGGGCCTTCCACAGTCAACTCTTCTTTCATCACCCTGTTTTCTTACCTGGAAACAAGATAGGTCTTTATTGCACTGATTATCACCGAGGAGTCGTTCAATTGCTGAAAAACAGGTTTAAAGCAACCATTTAAAAGAAACAGGTTAAATTGAAAAGGAAATTCTTCAAAACCTTTTCCCCTGCATGCTGAGGTTCCAAGTCAGGGAGACTTACCAGAGGGCTCCCAGCATTAGCTAGCAGGATGGGCACCTTTCTGTAGGAAGAGAATTTGATCTCTTTCCTCATGATTGGGTTCACTTCCACAATTTTATAGGGTAGTCCATGATAATCAAGAAAAGCTCGGACTTTGCTGCAGAAAGGACACGTTTTATACTGGTAGAGAGTGAGCTGCAGGCTCCCTGCAGGCAGCTGGGGAAGAAAGAGAACAGACGATTCCATTTTCTGCTAAAAAAATAAATACGACCTTCCTTCCACCCTTATTTCTGTCCTGAAGGTTCTGACATTCAATGTCAACATCTGATCATGAGCATATCTTGGCTACCAGATGCTTTCTTTAAATGGCATAAAATATTTAAATATTCACTATTCATTGGGACCAATAACTCTCTACACATCTATTTATGTGCTGGAAACTCCTATCCACAGCCATAAAAAAAATATAAGCTAAATCCAGACAGTTTACGCCTTTATGATTTCTATTCTGTAAAACAGAATTTTATAAAAAACCACAACCATTTGCAGTAATATTCAAATAAACACAAATAAAGCCTTTACAAGACAACCCCACCCCCACAACAGCCTCTGTTGAGACCACAAAGTGGGGAGAGCAGAGTTTGCATTTGATTTTAGGCATGTGTCTGCCCAAATTCATATTCCCGGGATTAACCAAACTGGGCACAGGTGGGACAAGGCAAGGAAAGCCCAGGGCGATGGGAGCATCAGTTACGGGATGTTTCGCAAAGCTGCTACACCTCAGCAGCCTGACAGGCCGTGCCTATCATTCCTCACACATTAAAGAACAAATGCAGCCACCCCGCTTTGTTTCTCAATTACAATTTACTGGGTTACACAACCCCGCGAGCGTGCTGCGAACAAGCAACAACAGAAAAAGCTCCACACCCCCAAGGAAGCCCTCACTGACAGCTCCTCAAGGAATGCTCTGCCAGGGGCCTCCCAGCCCGTTTTAAGCCCTTCCCGCACTCAAAGCGGGGCAGAAGGAGCCGCTCGGCCCGCGGGGAGCCGCTGTCCCCGGGGAGGGCCCGGCGGGCTCGGGGGAGCCGGCGTTACCTCCGCGGCCGAGTGCTCCCGCAGGCGCTGCCGCGCCGCCAGGCACAGCCCGGCGCTGCCGCCCAGCGCGAACGCAGCGCCCAGCACCAGGCGGCCGCCGCCGCCTCCCCGTCCCGCCGCGCCGCCGAAGGCTCGTCCCGGGGCCCGCAGCCGCCAGGCTGGCGGCAGCGGCAGCGCTCCGACCCGCCAGACGCGGCCGGCACCCGCCATCTTCGGCTGAGGGCGGGCGGAGAGCGGCCGCTCCGCCCCGGGCACCGCGGCACCGCCCCGGCCCGGCCGCGGCGCGGGGCGCGGTGCGCGGGGCTCGGGCATGGCGGCGCCGCGCCCCGCTGAGGGCACTCCCCGCGCGGGACCGCTGCCCTGTCATTATCAAATGTGGGAGCGCGCCGGAGTCTAAAGTGGGAGTAAAAGAATCGGTTAAAAGGGTGGGGGAGCTGGGCCTGTTTAGCGGCGAGAAAAGGCAGCTGAGGGGATTTCATCGGTGTCTGCAGAGAGGGGGCACAGAATGGATCAGGCCGTGGTGGCGAGCAATAGAACAAGAGGAACTGGCAGGAGCTGGTGCACTAAAGTTCCACCTGAACATGAGGAAAAACTTCCTGTGCAGTGACCGAGCCCTGAACAGGTTGTCCAGAGAGGGTCTGGAGTCTTCCTCACTGGGGATATTCCAGAACTGTCTGGACACAGTCCTGTGCTGTGTGTGCTGAGGTGACCCTGCCTGAGCAGGACAGTGAGACCAGATGACCCCCTGTGATCCCTTCTGGGATTCCGTGGTTCTCTGCCCAGTGGGGCTGGGGAGTCTGACCAACACTTACCCACAATGCAAGTGCACATCTCCACACTGAAAGTCATCAGCTGTTTTATTAACATGGGGTTACATCCATTAATTACATTTATATTCAATTTCTCTATTTGGGGTGCAACATGAGCCTGACCCTGCAGTGGAGCAGGATTATTACCCACAGAAAGGAGAGGTGGCTGCAATGTTAGATGAGGACACGACCTTTTATTTTGTCTTTGTCCCAAATACCCAGTTAATAACAGAATCATTGATCTCAGGAGCACTGCTTCAATCAATGTTCTAATTGTAGGTTATTTTCATCCCAGAATCTTCTCTCCCGGGAATGAAAACACCGCGCAGCGCTGAGATCTCATCAAGGTGACTGAGGTGTGGCTGATACCATGTCAAAGACACGGAAGGGCAAAGTGAATCGTGCTTGTTGCTTCAGGGAAGGAGTGTGAAGGTGACCTGAGGCTGGTTCAAGACGGTTAGTGGACGAAGCAGAGCTGGAGACAGGGCTGGAGCTGGGAGTTCAGCAGCAGAGCCCTAGCCGGGACGGGACGGCCGGCACGGACAGAATGCAGATTGATCTATACAGAGCATCACTTGTTCTGGGGAAAAAGCGCTTAGTGCTGATGGGGGCCCCTAAGCGGGGGAGTTCGGGAGGACCTGAGGACACTTGGGGAGGGCAAAGACACAGCCTAGCGCTGGGCACACGATTGGGAAAAATCCCCGAGGAACGGGGAACGTGGCGCTGACCGCCGCGGCCGCCCCTGCCCAGCCCTGCTCGCCGCACCCGCCCGCGCGTCTGCGCCCCGCGCCCTCCGCGCTAACCACAAAGTCCGCCGCGGCGCCAGCCTGCGTGACGCGCTCGGCGCCCTGCCCTGCCATTGGCTGAAGGCCCCGCGCGTGCACAGGCGCGCCGTGCCGGAGGCGCCGAGGCGCGGGCGGGCGCGGCGGGATGTCGGGGCCCAACGGAGACCCGCACGTGTTGGGCGGCGGCACCGGCGACGACGGCGACGAGGGCGGGGACACCTTCGAGGAGGAAGGTGCGTGCGGGAGAGCGGGGCCGCCATCGCGGAGGGGATCTCGTGGCGCAGGATGGCCTGGCGTGCTCCCCCTGGGCTGCGGGTGGCAGAGCGCAGGTGTGCCCAGATGTGCTCAGGTGTGCCCAGATGTTCTGATGGGAGCGGTGCCCAATGCCAGCGAGGCACCCGCTGCACGGCAGTGGGGCTGAGGGGCTGCAGGGTTTGATTCCCACCCAGCCGTGGGGCACCGAGCTCTTGCGTGTTGCCCTGGGATGGATTTTTTTTTCTGTGAAATAAATATTTTGTGCCTTTGTTGGTTACGGGCTGTGGATATCAGGAAAGAGGATGTTCAGGTTTCGAAATCACAGGGCAGATCACGTGGGCAGATCTGGGAGAAGTAGTTATGCATTAATGCAGCTTGGCAAATTCCACTTTGAGGAATTTCTGCAGTGCCTGGGTATACCGTTTCTGATGCTGCCCTGTCTGGTTAGAACCAGCCCATGGAGAAGGTGAGACGACAACGGAGCAGTAATGTGGACGTAGAGGTCACTCTTAAAACTGGAATTCTTTCAGAGTAAGCACTTTGCTACTCTTCTGTTGAAAAGGGCAGAGTTGGGTTCTGCTGTTTCCCAAAACATTCTGTTTCCAGATGTGACCCACACACAGGTGATTTTAGGAGTTACATCTGGGGTCTAGCTGCAGTGACAGGAGAATAATTTCTGCCCTGAAACACCCCAGGAGCTTTCACTGATTTGCATCTTCACAGTGATTTGTATTTCATATTTTTTGAAGAGCTAAGAGATACATTGGATGTGATGGAGAAAGTCACTAAATTTGATCTACATCCTAACTAACTGGGCTTTGTGTGCAGTAGCTGGTCATAAAGGGCAGCAGCTGTTTCCTGGTCTAGTGGGGCTGAGGCTGTGGATCTCTTCCTTGATCTCGAGTAGGAAACCTTATTTTTGCCAACTATTCTTGTAAGAATGTAGAGGAGTTAATGCAATTGCCATACTCCTGCTCAGCATTTCCAATAGGAACATGGTTATGTTTCCACAAAAATCCACCAAGCTTGCAACTAATAGAAAACAATGAAATAAAAGATTTTTGCAGCTTATTTTTAAATGATTATTTTTTTTTTCATTTCCCAAAGCTGCAGAAATTATATAACCTTCATTTGAGTTTTAGGCATGGAGAAAATGAAGCTTCTGCTGTGATGAGAGGCTTCTTGCCAAGTTGATGAATATCCCTTGCCAGAAGTAGTTACCATGTCTGCTTGGGATCTGCACTGGAATATGGTGCATCAAATTGAAGAGCTGTAACTCACGTACCTTGAAAAATGCTGATAGTTTGAAAAATACTGATATTGCCCACCTTTTTTGGAAAGCATGTGTTTGTGGGATTGATTTTTAAATGCAGGAACACCATCAGTGCTCTTGCTCGTAATGCCACCTCTATGTAAACCTACAAGGCCAAACTTTTATTAATGAGCTCAACTGCAACATTACACAATTCTCCAAAGAACTAAAGGCTGCAACACTCTGAACAGCTCCAAAGTGGTTATTAGAAAAGAAGGATAATTATTTTTTAATGAAACTTCTTAGCTATTAATAATGCAAATTACTTCAATATTTAAATATTCACAGTTCTTTTTAAAGCTGCTGGAAATGGCAGTGCTGGGACCTGGTGTGCTGCGGCACCAGGACACCCTGGCAAAGGGGCAGCTGAGAGAGCTAGAGCTGGTCTGGGGGATTTCAGCACAGCCTGGCCCTCCTAGGGTGCCCAGAGCACATCCTCATCCTCTCTCCAGGTGCTTCAGCTGAGCCCAGTGTTCCAGGGACTGTGAGTATCACACAGGGCTCAGAGGAGCTGGGTAGAGAGGAGCCAGCCTCAGCCCATGAGGTGTGGGCCTGTCCCACCTACACAGGCATCCTTGCCTATCCTGCAGCCCATGATCCTCAGAAACATCAGCCAACAGGTCACAGCTCCTCCTCTGCCTCCCTGCACTCACCCAGCTGTGTTTTTCAGAAAGGAACATGGGACTGGCTCCATCTGGGGGGTTCCCTTCAGCCTCCCAGGGGTCCTGAATAACCTCAGCAGTTTATCTTGTCTGATTTTTCAGTTTGGGTTTTTGTTATTCTTTGGGACTGTGTGAATGTTGCTTGGCACAATCCAAAGCAAGTGTTGCAGAAGCACAGCACTCTTCAGCTGGGTAACCGTGCTAACACACACCACTGTGAAATGCCATTGTACTGAGGCAAACTGCTGCACTTGAAACAATGCTGTGAATAAGAAATTGTACCTAGAGAACCAACTGCCAGGATCATCTGCAGTGACTCTAGGTTTAATAAAGTACCCAAAGTATTACTAGAGTATGAAAATCCTGTGGCTGAACTCAGTGTCCAACACTTACTTCCTGTGGAAATAATGGTGCCACTACCAGCACCTTTGGGCTCATCCCCTCCTGGTGCCACAGCCATGATGGCTGCACTGTTGGGGCAGCCTGACTCCAGCCAGGCCCAAGTGAAGCACATCCCAGCCTGGAAACCTTATCCAGGTAATTCACAGAAAATAAAGCCTGCAACATGCTGACAGAGTGTCTGTATTGTCAGGGAAGATGATTCCAAAGGCAGCTAAAAAGGCTAACTTATCTTTGGGATTTATCTGGTACTGTTGCAGTCAGCACTCAGCCTGTGGCTGCCTGTTTGTGTGTGAGATCTGAGGCTGTCAGATGTGCCCACAATGGGTTTGGACTGCCCAGGTACCTTGTCTTAGATCTTGTTGCCAGTGTTCCAGCTTCTCATTGGCCTAATTTGATCAGGGAACAGAGTACATGCAGGATTCAATTGTATTTTAGTTCACCCACCCTGGGGCAAGTAAGACACAGCCGAAATGCTGGCAGGCATGTTTTGCCAGAGCTCTCGCTGCCTGCTCTGACTGCAGTGACTTTGTGCTTACATTGTTCAGTCTCTCATTTCCCTTGCTTTTAGAATATGCAGCAATAAACTCCATGCTGGACCAGATCAACTCCTGCTTGGATCACCTGGAGGAGAAGAATGATCACCTCCACATCTGCTTGAAGGAACTGCTGGAGTCCAACCGCCAGACCCGGCTGGAGTTCCAGCAGCAGAGCAAGCAGCTGAACACAGGAGCTGATGTGCAGGGATCCCAGCCTCCTGCCTAGGGTCTGACCACACACTCTCAGCTGGTGTTGCTAAGTGAACAAACAGTTCCTGGCCACCAATTTAATGTAAAACTTGAATAGCAGAGGTGCCTCGTGTCTGTTAATTGTTCCTTTCTCTGTTTGTATCCTGCCATTCATCTCCATGTTGTGTTTTCCTTTAGCTGTGAGACAGATGGAGAAGCACAAGGGTGGGTGTAGGGGAGCTGGGTCTTTCTGCTTCCCAGCATGAGCCTGGCACTCACATTTGGTTAAAGCTGGTTGTAGGAAACCTGAGCCCATGCAGGAAGTTTGCAGGCAGGCCCTCTTCACAGAATGGAAAAATTATCTCTGCTCTCTTTTCCTTAAATCCAAGCAAGAAGCATTATGGCTCTTACTCCTTTGGCAGGGGCTGTCCTGACTCCAGGCTTGTCCCTAAAGTGTAACTCTGATGACAGCCCTGGAGAGGGAGGCCCTTAAAGCTGCTGCCTTCAAGCTACAGCTTTAGTCACATTAACTGTGATGTATGAAATACTGGCATATGGTTCCAGATCACTGAACACTTCCACTGCATTCCAAGCAGATAAAACAAGCTGGCAAGGTGATTTATCTGACCATTGTAACTGGGAGCTGCCCCACTCCTTCAGCTGCCATTAAGGACCAAGGTGTGGAGAGGTAGAGCAGCCTGGTTAGCCTCCACCATAGCATCAGCAACAGAGAGCAGTGTGTGCTCTGTACATTCTGAGGAGGCACGAGAGGTCTGGTCTGTACTTTGTGATCTTGTCAGTATGTCCTAGAGCCAGCACTTTGGAAGCAAGTCTTACTGTTCTACTTATGTAGAGTTAAAGGAGTTTTTTGGAAAGTTAAAGAGGTTATTTAAAAGAAATCTGTTTTATTAAAATCAGTTTGAAACAAACTTTGTTCCTGAGAGTTTTCACTATGAGAACAGATTTGATTAAGCCTTGTAGTATTAACAAAGGACCAAGGTGCATGTTTTTGCCTAGTTTAGGACTTGTCCAAGACTGCTTGTCCAACAGTGTGTGTCTTAGAAAGAAAAGTGTTCTGAGAAGCAGAATACAGCAGAGTCTCCCAAGAGATAAACATTTCCTCTGCCTGGAAAGGAAGTGAGAGGAACTACAAAGAATTCTTAAGTCTGCATCCATCACTCCATGCAGTTTGTGCCCTGTGGAAATCCCATTACCATCTTCTTTCAGGTTCAACAATCCAAGCCTCAGTCTTTCCATGTAACTGCTGTATCCCAACTGTACAAGTAATAAGCAACACTATCCTGTATTAGACACGCTAAAGCCAGGCTTATTTATTCTTAAAATAAAAACAGCGGTAAAGTTGAAGGTTTTGCTCTATTAAAAGACTCAGAAAATAAACATTTCCAGCAAATATCATATGTAAAGGGCTCTCCTTTAAGGCCACTCTATCTGGGTTTGCGCCTGGAAGAGCGTCTGCACCCAGCAGAGGTGAGACCGGCTGTCTCACCTTTGGCGAGGGAGGAAGGCTCTGCTGCTGCCTCCTGCTGTCCTAAGCCGCCTCCACTCCCTGGATCCTGGTGGTCACCTGTGCCTGCCCTCTGCCTGGCTGTGTTGGCTTCTTCCTCACATCCCAGTGACTCCCCTACGGTGTGGCTCTCCTCAGAGAACAGGCAGTCGGCACTAGTGGCAGTGGACTTGTTCTGTTCCTGTAGATTTTCTTCTACAACCATGATACCACACACATCATCAGTCACACTGGCCAGGCTCTTGCCCTCTGGCCTAGAGGTGGCCAGCTCACCCTTACCCTCCAGAGACCTTGAAGTTTGTTCTTGCAGGGCTGACAGCTCTGTGCCCTCCTTATCTATCCCAGGATCATCATTCATCTTCTTGCTGGTATGTGCTGTTGTAGCAAGAGGCTGTTTTGGATCATCCAGCAATTGGGAGCTGGAGCCCTGGGAATGCAAAGGAGCCTCGGGGTAGGCAGTTGTGGCACGATGCCTTGCTGCCTTGTATCTCTGCAAATACAAACAAAGCAGTGTGAGAGAGAAGCCCAGCTCAGCTCCTGTCACTGCAGCAAAGCAGCAGCTGGTCCAGGAACACCTGTACAAAACCAGTGGTGAGTGGCAGGGGCAGAAGTGATCTCAGCAGCTCCTGGCCTGGCTGCTGAGGCTCTCAACAGAGAAGGGTCAGCTCCTGTGAGGAAAAGTTATATTAAAAACTGAAGTCCCTCTCACATTACTTAATGTTGAGCGAGTGCATGGCAGACCTGTGGTTCCTGAGACAGAAATAATGACCTGGCAACTGTTCATCTCAGTCACACTCAGGACTCTGTAGATGTAACAATGCAAGTGACAGCTACTGGCAGGACACATACCCTGGGCATGTGAGGCTCTGCAGAGTCCTCAGCTACTGGTGTGATTTAATGTTTATCAGCCAAAGCAAGGCTTAAGATGAAAGCTTGGTAGTTCTTCACTCTTTTGATACAATCTGCACGGTCAGTGGAACTGTTGACAGGGAGGCTATGATATCATATCCATAATATCTTGTTACAAGTCACTGGGGTATTCCACAGAGTAAAGGTAAGCATATCATCAGTAAAAAGACTCATTTGCACTCACTATCATGATGAATCAGTAGGGGTCTGTAAAGAGATTAAAATGGCTACTGTGCATGTTCTAGACTGGATTTCAGGAAAACAACTCACTGTAGCTAGCTAACATATAGCAGGAACCCAGTCTTCAATGCCCAGACAGATCATGACCTAAAGGAACAAACTGAAGTTCACTCTTTCCCACAGCAGTTCCCTTCATAATAAACTCCCTTTCTGCTGCCTGCTGAAGGGTTCCTTGAACTGGCACTAGCAGTACACCTGACAATTTAAGGAAACAATGTTGAGCACAATGCCTTTCACCAGTCTGCAATGTGAAATTACAGCATATCTGACAGGGCAGCTTTACATTGTAATTCAGTTTATCACTGCAGGCATGTTCTTCCTCTGTCCTCAAATTGTGGGGTATGAACAGTATCATATCACATTGGAATTGGATCAGTCGAGTCATACTGTACCCAAACCTAAGCAGGTGCAGGCATGCAAACTGGTGTCCAGAGTGATGCTGTAAATTGTCTCAACAGCACACAATTCTCTGCTTTGAAACACTCTTGCTGAGAATACCCCAGCAACTGGCAGTGATTTAACTCAGATTGTGACAACCCCAAGGCACCTAGGCAGCCAAGAATAATAGTTATCTGCCTACAGACATGTAAGTCTGGACTCATGAACTCCCCAGGTCATTCTGGCATGCATTTGAAGAGCATCTGATTTCAGCTCTAAGTGGGCCAAAAGAGTGACATAAGTGACTGCTGATGCAGTTTCACTCTATGGTGATCTAAAACAAGCCAGAAAAACAGCAAATCCAATTCCTTCATTCCTGAAATGACTAGCTGCAGGAGTGGGAGAGGATGAGCAACCATGAAGGAACAGCTGTGGTCTCCTCCCCTTCCAAATCCACTGCTCTGAATGCTGGCAGAAGTCTAAAGCACTCCACCCCTTCCTGGAGGCAGTGATAGCTGACTGGGAATAGTTTCTTCTGTCTGAGGACTAGAAAAAAAACATGAGGTTTTGGGGGGTTAGGGGTGTGTGTATGTGTGTTTGGTGTTTTTTTTAAACATTATTTAAAAAGGGGGTAGGGAAGCACAGCCGTTTTTGAGACTAGATTGTGGGTGCAGGCAGAGGGCCAAGTCGATGTGGGAGCCTCCCTCTTTGCCAAGGACAGGGAATAATGCTCTCCCATACAGGAGGGCCCAGGCAGTTGTCATAGGATAGGGCAAAAACAGTGCAAGTCCTGTGTACCCTCCACAAGCACTAATCCAGGCCCCTTACCCCCTGGCAAGTCAACAAGGACAGAACAATGGAGGCAGATTCCAGGCCAGCCCAGTAGGAAAAGCTTTAGATACGAAAGCAGCAAGGGGCAATACGGCTTCTTTAGGTGGAGCCAGAAAAGCAAAGGAACAGCACCAGTTTGCAGAGCTTTGTGCTAAGGAGTTTCTAGGAAAGGGTTGCAGACAGAGAGAGACAGACAGACAGACTTCCTCTTGCAGGCTGACCCTGGGGACAAATGGAGTCTCACCAGCTTGTAGATTCTATCACATAAAGAGTCTGTAATGTTAAATTTTCAGGTTTCTAAGGTATCTGATATCCAGGCCTCTTCCTGGATGAATCACGCCCACACTTTTGGCTAAAGGAGCTGTTCTTGCACACCTGGAGATGCATATACACCAGCTTTCTTTACATGGAACAGCCTCTCTCTCCTGCTCAATCCCACTTTGACCAACCTGTAATCTAACAGAGAAGAGGCCTAGACTAAATGACAGGCTCCACAGGTTCAGCAAACAGAGCGGACACTCTGAGGAAGATTCCCAGCCAGAAACAGGCAAAAAGATGACAGCAGCAGTAGCTGGGAAGCAGGACTTGACTGGTTTTAGATCTACAAGGGCTAAGGGAGACAAAGACAGAGCACACCAGGAGAAAGCTACAGCATAATGGACACCAAGGATGATGGAAATGAGCTGGAGACAAGACAGCTGATGTGGTGGATTCACTGGAGAGACACGCACGGGGGTAACAAATGCCAGGCCATGCAATCGCCAAAGGGTCTAACCTGAAAGTTCTCAAAATGCATCAGGGACTTGCAGTGTGCGAGCCGGGCAGCGGAGTCGCTATGGTAGAATTTGTGACACAGCCTGCAGAGGTAACCTGCGACGGGGACCAGAAAATCCAGGCCTGCGAAACGGGAGGGGAAGGGAAATCACAGATCACATTGAACGGAACTCAAATAATGAAAGCATGTTAAAAGAGAAGGGGGATGGGAATAAAGAAGGAGAGGTGGAAAAGCTTTGCTTCTGTTAATCAGGGATTTGCAAGATGACTTGCTGAATATCTCGTCTTACCATGGAATGGCTGTGGTTGATATTCAGAGAGAAATCTGGCTGCCAGAGCAAAGAAACTACACAGAGCGTTAAGGGGGGGAAAAAGGGAGAAAAGAATACAATGGAAAACTACAGAGAACATGTGATCTAATGTAATGGGATCAAACCAAGCAGAAGACAGCAGGCGCGCAAGAGGAACACGCAGAGAACATTCACAGCATGAATCATTATTCCATCTGCCACACGATAGTGGAAGGTTACAGCGATATGGAAGATTCGTGTAAACAGAGCTCTCCTTGGGCACAAAACAGCCTCTGCAGAGCTGCCCTCCTCAAACACGAGTGGCCGTTAGGGGTTTGAAGTCAGTCGCTTACAGGGTGGGGACCAGACACAGCCATCTGGAGGAACCACTGCCCACCAGGCCAGCAGCATGGCTGAGGAACTGCTCGGTACAGCGTGGGGGTTCTGAAGCAGAGGAAACATGCACAGTTTGGGTCTAGCAGAGTTTGATACTGTCAGTGATGCTCAGTATCTCTCTGCAAGCTGCATTTCTGTTTGAAAGCATTCCAATCAATATGCTTTCCGACTCCATCTTTCCAGAGCATCCCTCATTTGCTACCTACTTTCTTCAGTACTCCTGCCCTGCTTGTTCCATGTCCTACCTTAGAAACGTGTCTGGCTATCATCCTTCTTCAAAGTAAAAGGCAGTTGACAAACATCAATCACATCCTCATGTTTTATCACACAGTAATAAAGAAACATCCTGCTTTCAGGAGAGGTTCTTCTCCAGGCAGCAGTGATCTGCACCAGTCCAATGCAGATGCTGGAGCACCATGGCCCAAGAAGTTATTATAACAGTAGGTAGAGACCATCCTCTCCTACAGACGGAGCATGTGGCTAGAGAAGGCTCTGTGGCCGTTTGTGCTTAACTCTGCTTGCTTACCATAGGCTGTGTCTGGACAATACTTCTCACTTCCTTCGTAATCCTCCAAAGACACTTCCTTCAGCCCAGTCTGGAAACCAAAAGAACATTAGTGCCTACTGTATCTGTGGCAATTGTCAGGCTCTTGCATTTTTCTGGTAAGTTTGGGAGCAAAACAGAAGATTCACATACCAGTGACAGAGTTGCACAGCCTCTGATCAGGGGCAGATGCAAACCCCAATGTCAGCAGACCACTTCATTACAAGGGTTAAAATCACCCCTTGCACTCCAAGCCTGAAGGAGCATAGCCATGTACCTCCTTCTTGGTAACTGCTCTCTACTAAGAATGTATTTGTCAAGATAAGCCTCTACACATTTGCTATCAGACCCAGCCACTGCTGGGCTGTTCAAAGAGACTATGTTAATACTGCTTTGTGCTCCTCAACAAGGTTAATGTCTGAAGACAGCAGAAGCTGTACAGCCCAGTAGAAACACCTTCATGTATCCCAAACACAGTGCCTGATTCTCTTCTGCATCACCCTCTTCTCTGGAAGAACCCTAGAATCCCACCCTACTGCTGTGCAAGACTGAGCAGACTCTTGAAAGCCTGAGCTCAGCCAGCCAAGACCAACTAAGTCAGAGAATCCCACAGCAGATTCTCAGACAGGTCATTCCTTCTTCTGTTGCACAGCATACCTGCTTGGCAGCAGAATCCTCATTCTCCATCAGCACTACATCATGGTCTTCCTCCTCACCAGCTCCTCCCTCCTCCTCCTCCTCTTCCTCATCATCATCTTCAAAACAGCCAACAGCATCCACAGTGATCAACTCCTCTGAATCTTCTGGGCTCCCCAACTCCTTCTCTCCCAGCCTAACCTGTAAGGTACATAAAAGAAAGATTAGATCAACTTTGCACTCGCCATTTAACCGAGGAAGTGCCCAGACTCAGGACAGATTGTATGTGATGAGCAGAAGGGACTGCAAGAGGGGCATAAAGCTCTCTTAGACACATCCAACACCTTCTCCCTTTTTCATTCAGCTTCTTTCAGCACTAACTGAAGTTCAGCAAAATATGAAAATTAAAACACGGCTAGAAGAAGTGCACATCTTCCTTTCAGCCCTGCAGTAGTCAGAGAAGCAGAACGTTACTCTGCTCTACAGTGTAGGTGCCTCCAGATGTGCACAGCTCTCCATACAGGCAGTATTACCTCTTTGGCTTTCTGTTTGTGCTCAGGGGACTTCATATGCTCCACAAACTTGCGAGGGGTCTTGAAATGGCGGCTGCAGACAGTGCAGAAAGGACGAAGTGAGCGTTTGGCCAGCTAAGGAAAGAGAGACAATTCTGTAAGTCACAAGAGGCACTGCTTGGAGGAATGTAGATGAATCTTGAACCAAAGTCAGTCACACATCCTGGGAGACCACACAGAAAATAGTCTTTTCAGCAGAAAGGGCTAACTCTTCTCCACCAAAAAGAAGAAAAACATGCAGAGCAAAATTAAGTGTGCGTTAAAATAGGTGTTCTGTCACTTCCCTAAAAGTCAATAAATATGCTGGCCTGCCTGAAGTTTACCTTAAAGAGGCTGCCCACCAACTCCTCGATTCAATTGATTAGGTGAGTATGGTAAGTCATATTTCTTAAGAACACTCAAAAATTACAGATTAGAGGTGCCTCAGGCCATAAAGACACATCATGACAACTGGAAGCTCCAACAATGCCAGAAGCAGGAGGTAGCACTGCACTGCCCTTAGGGAGGGAGTTACTGGCAGAACTAATATGCACCCCTCCACTTCAGTCACCTCTCCTTTGCTGCTTGGGGAGCAGGAGATGCTACATGCTTCCATTTAATCCCCAGACAAAAGGTGAGTGCAAAATGAAGTCCAAGCTATGGCTGTTACCTTGTGCTCCTGGGTCCTGCGATGTTTGATGAGGTCCCCGGTGAAATGCACCTGACACGTGTTACACCACCGCCGCTGGGTCTCTCTGAAGTGACAACAGATAGAGCTGTAAGTCACACCTTTTCCATTCTCCACAGAATACTGCAGGTAGCAATCTGTCCCTGGCATTGTTTTCTTCACAACTCCTCTCTTTACAGGCTTGAATTTATCTTCTCTCCTTCTCACCCACTTACAGGTTGCTTTAGCTTGTGCTGACAGGAATACACCAGATAAAACAGGTCTCCTACTTAATCTACTGTATTAAAAACTACAAAGGTCAAAGTCAATTCTGGTATCCTTCAGCAACATAGAAAGTTGCCTGAAGGAAATTAAGGCCCTTGAAATCAGAGGGGATTTGTACCTTACCTTAAACTGAGAGGCACCCTGGTGCAGTGAAAAATTTTAGAACCCATGTAGGGCCACACTCAGGTTGAATTTTCTACTGCAGACCAACACTTACCCATCTTTTCCTGCTAGTACTTTCTGCTGTTTCACCATGGGCAATAGTGAAACAAAACAAACATTGCTCATGTGCTGAATCTCCCCAAGTCGCTGCTGGTGCTGAATTCCAGCCATGTGGGATTGGAAATTCTGAAAGAGAGGTTAGGAGAAAAATCCTTTTAAATGTATCCAAAACACAGAAAATAATAGGTATGAGCTATGCTTTCCTTTCTTTTGATGCTGTTTAACAATGAAATATAAAAGCTTAAGAGCATGGCTGCCTGTGGATCCACCCACATTCTCTCTCTAGCAGGTTGCTTGCCAGCTCTCAGGAGAGGTTTATTTTATCTGCATACTTGTCATCATTTCTCATGTTCCTTGTTCCTAAAACATGAGCCCTTACTAACAAGAGATTTGCCATCTAATTCCCATCTCTTGGCCAACTGGATACCTGTCAGACCTGTGCATTTTTACCTGCTGACTGCAGCAATTGGTCTTGCAGATGTAACAGTAGAATTTAAGGACTGATTCCGGGTTGGGATCAGCTGTGCCCATGTCGCAGGCCCAGTGCCCTGGTTTCAGAGCTGTTGTACTGATAGCTCTGCTCTCACTGCTCTGCTGAATAGTCACTTTCAGTGAACCTCCAGAGCTCAACACCTGTCAAAAGATGGAGTCAACATTAAGTTCAATCCCTCCATAGAATAAGAATTACACCTGCTTTCTGTATGTCACCTAAGCTCTTTACCCTTTAGGAAAATGCACTTAAGCTTGAACCCACAGGAGGCTGATCAGGACTCTCATAAACACTCCTCCCAAAGCTGCTAAATCAGCGATCCCTGTGTCACAGCACCAGCCCTATTAGCACAGATGGTTGTTTCTGCAGCCTCTGCAGCCACTGTATGATCCAGCCTCTGGGGACTGGAGCCACAAACAATTGTTGCTAAGGGACACAGTCAGCTCATGTTTCTCCACAGCAAAACTAAAGCCTACTCAGCACAACACCTGATGGGAGTGAGGAACTCAGACATGGGCAGGATGATACATTTGATTACATCAATAAATGTCTCCAATTATGGAAGACTGTCAAGTCTGATTCACACCTGAGGTTAAATCTTTCTCTGCTCACAGCTTTACACAGCCTAAGGTTCTGATTTAACATCCAGCATGGGGGCCACGTATTTCATACAAAAGACTCTCAGGCTGCATCTTTTAACACCACCTGAATCTTTTTACATTTCTCTTTAGCAATATGAAAGATGCATTTAGCTATGGCCCTCCCTACATAGAGTTTTAAGTAACCCTTTCAATTTAGCTTTCCATCTTTCCAGCTGAATACAAAAATCTAAATGAATGCCCCATCCATAGGCAGCAGTAGGTAAGGAACAGGCCAGCACAGCTACAAAAGCAGCAAGTCAGAGCAGACTGTGCACTAATTGCAGACATATTATGCCTTATTGCCAGGGACAACAGCTTACAGCAGGAGACAGAGCTCCAGACGTGGGTGCCAGCTGGTTCCCAGTGGCAACGGGCTTCTCCAGGATGGAGGGGGAGGTTGTATGTTCTGCACCACCCCTACATGGAGTGGTGTCTGCTCACCTCAGGAGCCTTCGGTTCCTCAGAGAATTTCTTCTCTCTGGAGAGATCTTCAGTTGTGTACTCCCTTGCATTGTCTGTACCTAAGATGGGAGAGTCCTTTTAGCAGTCTTAAATCAAAACAGCAATGATAGGAAAAACAGAGCAGCAGGTGAGTGAAGTCAGGGAGCTTTCCTCACAGCACTGTTGGCCATAAGCCAGTTCACAAACTTTTCTCCTTATCCTTAATAATTAAGACAGAAACATCTAATCATTTGCCTTTGGCAGGTAACAGATACTAGGGGATACAGTTTGTATTTGGTTCCTAGATTTTATCCTTCTTTCTCCATCCTGTACAACTGGGGAAAGAACATTTCTGTAGACCCATGGGACCTACAGGTGCAGTTTCAACAAGGAGTGCCCTAAAAATTCAAATCACAGGGCTCAGCAACTCACCATCAGCTTGGGCATGGGTGCATGAGACTTCTGCTTTCTTGCTGTCTGTGGCATCCTCTAACGCAGACTCCCCAGTCACACTTCAAGGATATCAAGAAAAGTACCTTAACTGCCATGTTACAGACAAAAGTTTCAAAAGGCACACCAATGCACATGCTAGGGTCTAACCTACCACACTCTCCACTAAACTCCTAAATTAATAAGCTACTGGAAGTGGTATTTCAGGCAAGAATTTGACAGAAATAAATAAAAATAATGTAGCGTGGGTGTTCTAGAATGGATTCAGAAAGAGCAGCCAAGTAATCTGGACAAGCAGGTTACAACTAATTTTTTGGTTAGCTGCCCTCTCCTGCAAGAAGCCTGAAGGGAATTAAGTTCATACAAGAAATATTCTTAATAAGAGCTCTGAGAGCTCTCTCTTGTGACTGGCGACCTGTAGGGAAATTGCAACACCTGGACAGTGCTTCTGGTTGCTCTGTGCATGAGAGACCTATCAGAACTGAAGGAGTTCTCCATGGTGCCTTTACAGGGATTTCACCACAGCTGCCTGCTCTATTCATACCAATCGTGTTTCATTTCAGAGTCCCTACAGCTCTGCTTGTGGGGGAAGCAAAACTCTACAAGATGCAAATCAAAAAGGCCTTGCTTTTAGTGATCTGCTAAGGAGAAAAGCACTCCTGAGGGGACTATTGAGAATAAATGTCTGACTTCCAGAGGGCACAAAGTGTTCTCTGCAGTCTCTTTCTACATCCCCCATTTTTCTGTCAGGACTAACTTTCCACCGTTACTTGACTGTCTGCTCTGAGGGTGGCTCAAATTCCCACCTGCTGGTGTCCTTCTGCCAAGAGGGAGCAGCACCTTCTGCACAAGCAGGACAGGCGATAGCGCAGGTACCGCATCCCGTTATCCGAACGCACGCACACCGCATAATTTATCAGATTGATACGTGATAACGGAACTGGGTTGCACGGCTATAAATATGCAGCAGGGTTTGGGCACTGCAAACACGAATTAAACAGGAGTGACTGGCATTAACATTATTTGTCAGGTGCTGCCAGCAGGCTCAATGCTAACGGTGCCACACACATACGGTGCCAGCACTCAGGGTGAGGGTTTGCAGCCTGAACTGGAAACCTAAGGAGCAATCTAAGGGAGCAAGAGCCACCACGAGCATGATTTAAAGAGGAAATGGTATTCTATGGATACTTGTCATGCCATGCTAGAAGTGGGTGTTCAAGGAGGATTTGAAGATGATGAGTGCTTTCTGCACTGGAATGAGGATGTTGTTCCAGGTGTACAGATGGTACATAGGAGCAAAGGCAGAAGTGGGAAAAACCTGAAATGAAGAAGGAGGCTGGTATTTCTGGCTAAAGGGAAATGGAACAATGAAGCATGAAACACAACTTTATGACATAGATGGGGGGGAATGCCCTTCTCATCTGTGAAGGACAGTATGAGAACAGTAAACTTTTTTTTTCACAGATCCTTCATCTGTTCATTGGAAGATACTAGAAACACTTGGAAAAAAAAAAAACAAAAGCTAAATAATAATCTATTCTAGGTAAATACCAGCCATAATATATGCATCAAATATGGCAGTCCTGAACTGCAGCTTAGGAAATAATTTTCCTAATAGCTGGCTTGCTGCAGTGAGAGCTGTCATTCCTCAGACTTGATTCTTGTTTACAGTGCGTGTAACAGGACTTTGATTAATACCCTGCTAAATATTAATGTAATTAAAATTAAATTAGCTTTGGCAAACAGATTAACAAAGCATGCACTCAAATGTATTCAACCTAGCTTTAATTGAATTTATTCACTTTCTTGCTAATCAGAGTCCATAACTCACGATGGTCCCTGAGCACACAGTATTTACCACTCTTTAATGTTTTACTTTGATGTTTGGATATTACCTTGATAATGTAATCCTGGAATATTCCCCCTAAAGCTATTCACTAATCTGTAATCTACAAATGGGAAACAGCGAGGTGAGGAAATTTGTCCAAAAGCAGGCAGTGAATGCCTGACAGGGAAGGTAAGAGGACCCAGGAGTCCTGACTCATCCTCGTTAACATATGCTAGAGAATTCTCAAGTCAGTGCCTACAGAAATCTGTATTCACTCCTTCCTCTTCTCCCTCCACACCAGCCAAGGGTGACAGCTCTGGGAGAGGAGCAGCCCGGTGCAGATGGCAGCGGGAACTCCGCGAGGTGCCTTCCCACTAGATGGCAATGCAGCCCTGCCTGTCCCCGCCGCACCCTCGGGAGGCCGGGAGAGCCGGGATGGGCCTGCCAAGGCAGCCTGCCGCGCATCCCTGGGGGATAATAGGATTGCCTTTGCCTATTTTTACCCAGCAGACACAAGAACCGGCAAGGCAACCTCTGCAGAAGGGATACAGAACTCAATGCTCATGGATACAGGCTTGGATACTAGGGAGTATTGATTCACTTTATCATTTCTCAAAATAAATTACCCTCCTGTACACCTACTGTAACCTAATATATTCCAAGGCTTTCTTTTCCCTTTCTGCTCATTTCACTTTTTTGACATTTAGGGAAGAAACTTGGAGAAATACACCAGAATAGAAAAGAACCTCTATGCTTCTTACAGGGATCCTGGCAGAAGAATACAGGAGCAAACCCTGCTTTGTTGCACATCTAGAGAAGCTGCATCTCTCATTTTTCATTCTCGTAATTGCATCACCCCTAGCAGAGGCCCCACAACACCCAGTATCTCAGCAAGCATCACAATATTTTCTAAAGCAAGCTGTTCACAAGCATCTGAAATACCTCTTACATGCTAGACATCAGGCCAATAGAGTATACAGCCCTAATTATTAGAAAATAAAATTAGACAATAATTCTAAACTCAGTAACTATCTCAATACCCCATTCAATAAATACCTCTTCAGTCTTTTTGCTGCAGGCTCAGTGTTCAACACAGACTCTGCTGGAGTTCTTGGCTCTGCAGGAACACAGAAGGAGATTTCCTTAGCAAAACAGACCATGCCACCTTGAGTGTGTTCCATATCTAAATAACAAATGCCAATGAGGCTCTGTTAGAGCGAATAATACTAAATACTTGCTTATTCTGAATTTATGAGCTGCTCTGACAAGGTTAGACAATAATCTCAAATATTTGAGCTTTATTGCAATGTCACTGCATGAGGTGCTGCCCCAAAAAACAAGAAATCTATGTTCATATCTACTAGGTGGGTCTCAGTCCTATACCTAAGTGACAGAGCCATGAACATGGGAACCTTAATATAAGCCAAGGTGGCACGTCTACCTGACAGCAACCAGTTAACAAGACAGTTTTCACTGCAGCATAACCCTGGTCACAACCTCATCAAAGTCTGCAGTTTTAAATCGTGCACTCTTCAGTCAGAAATGACATTCCCACATCTGTGTTGTATCTAAATCAAGATATTCAGTGCCTGCAGTTTCTGTGTTGACAAGTGGGGCACCAGGACTTTCAACTCATCTTTTTCTTAGCTGATTCTAACTGGTTCTGCTTGATGTGTTTGGCTGCATGAGATGTTGACTTCAACATGGGTAAGGCAATGCAGAAGCTTTAATTTCAGACCAGTTTTCTTTTTTCCTTCCCATCTTAAACAGAATTCAGTGTCAAAGGGACTTCTGAGAGAGAAATGGAGCAGGCTCATAAAAAATAAAAAATATTCACATAAAAGTGGTACACAATGCACATAGAGGGCAATCACAAGCAGTTCAAGTATTTACAATTAGAAACACAGCTGATTAAGCCTAAAATCATCTCCAGTTTTTGCTGTAGGACTATCAAGAGAAGTTTATAATATTTGCAAGCAGTTGTTTCACTACAGGCTCCTCCTTACCTGTGAATGGTGAGGAATTGTTCTGCTCTGACCCTGCTTGCATTCCCTCTGGAATTTCCATTTTCTCATCACCTTGTGTGTGAGATGAAGAACCAGGATCTAGTTCCCGCTTCCTGTCAGGAACTCTCTGGAAGTCCTGCAATGGGCAGAGAGTCACTGCCATCTCTTAGTCCTAACACAAACTGCCTAAAGCACCAGAGTTTTACTGTGGGGGAGGAACAGGAATTCCAGTGATAATGGAAAGGAATAGACGGTTCACAATGGACTGCCCTGCCTGAGGAAAGCTTACATGGTCAAAGAGAGCAAGGTATTTCAGTCCCTAAGGCAGCCAGGACAAATCCCCAGTGCTTTAAACAGCAGCTGTAGGAAATCCATCTGCTTGCAGAGGGTAGGATCATGCTAGGGAAACTCTGGAAAGAGCTGCACAGGCAGGGAAAAGGGTATTCCAAAATAATCCCCCTTCTTTTGACTCTGGAGGACAGTGTGAATTTACCTTATCCACCACATCTTTTTGACAGAATGGGATGAAATGTGACAAAACTAATCTAAGAGGAGGCAAGTAGCAGTCAACCCAAGAACCATTTCCAGGATACAAAAGAGGTCTTAATGACCGAAAGTGAGAAAGGTTTTCACAAAACAAGAATTGTAGATTTTACAAAATCCACAAGGACAAATACAGTCTGATCGTAAAAAGTGGGAGAACAGCCCAAAGAGGCAGTGTCCATAGTAGGAGCAAGTTGTTTGAGAACAACAAACTGCTTTGGAACAGCAAAGCACTTAGCCAGGATTTCTTCTGTTGTAATTACTTTTAAGCTGATACTTCTAAAGGCTCCTTTTATATCCTAGGTTTAAACAGTTCTATCATGGAGAATTCCCTCTCTTGGGCAAGTAGTGACAAGAAATCTTTGCACCACAAAAGCCTCTGGGATGGAACGATTTCTGCATTTCTGTGTCAGCAGCATGGCACAAAACATTATTTTCTTTGTAATGCTCTCTCCTTTCTCCTTTGTACTCCGCCTACTATACACTCAACAACTGCAAGTGCAAAAGGAGCACAAAGCTCCCCAGCAGCTGGAAACCACAATCCCACCTTGCGAAAGGTCCGGTTCTGCCGCTGGAATGGGAGGCCGGGGAAGCCCAGCCGAGCTGGCTTTAAGGAGACCCCAACAGGTGGTGGTCCGAGGAGGGAATGTCTTGTAGCCTGAGGGAAGAACTGCTGCAGTGCTGGTGCTGTCATGTTAAATCCACGCAGGTTTCCTATAAATGCAAACACAGGATTTCACCACCCTGTGCTGTGCAAAGGAGAGAGAAAAATCTTCCACCTGAATAAGCAGCAGGTAGAGGGGAAGGGCTCCTCTACACATGACCCTGTCCTTTATTGGGCACTGCATAGGTGTTCTGTGCTCTACCCTCTTCAGCACACAGAATGATTTGATGTGATTGCAACCATTACTATGGATCAAGCTATTTAATTATAATTGTCACTCCAGGCAAAGATCATTAGAGCAATTATTTGATCTGAGCACATTAGTGCTCGTGTTTGCAACAAACAAGGTCTCGTTTTACAAAAACTCTCTGTAAAAAAAGGAAAATTCACCCCACATTTGTGCAGCTGACTGCCCACACCATAGCTTGGAGCTCTTTAAAACAAGCCAGTAACAGCATTTCATTTAAAACACCACCGAACTTTTTAAAAAAAATCCCACAGTCCTCTCTGCCACCTGGTTGTCATGCAAGCTCAACATGTCAGCCTCAACTCTGACACTTGAGACTCTGCCATTTCCAATTATAATGCTCTGCTTTCTGAACAGTTCAGCATCCACAGACTATTAACCAAGTGTCAAAAATTTCTTCTGAAGACAGTTCTTGTCACCCCCATTTCAGGGGTGAGGGAATGGAGGGGCCCAGATGCCTCAGCTATACCCTCAGAAGCCATCCATCATTCAGGGAACCTGGACTTAAATTGCCATTTTTTCTCTCTCACTTGAATTACTGCATACTCCAGCCCTTTAGCAGCTGTCAAAACAGGGCAGCAAAGTTTGGAAACAGGCACCCAACATCTGAAAAACCAAGCTACACTCTTAAAAGCCTGCAACACAATAGGAAGTACTCCCTATGTTTGTCTGCAAAAGCAATCTAATCTATTATTACTTCTCATATATAATCCCTTACTGCAAAAGGGCATAGCTATACTAAAAAAAAAATATAACACAAGAAATCATCTTCTGCTCAAGGTCTGATACCCTTAAAGAACCACACATCTGCTTCAATTTGAAGTATTTATCTTTTCCTATTCCCACTGCTGAAGCTACACACAGCCAATGAATTATTTATGCTGATGCTTCCCAGGGAGAGAAATGGCACAGCATCAGATATTCTTACATGTAACCCAAACCTGAATGGCCAAAAAATTCATATCACTAAAAAGGGCCACATGGACATTGACAACCATATTCCATGTTACCTGTGGCTACCTGAGGTAGGTGATTGAGAGAAGTCACAACTCCATGGAGAGGTGAAGAGGAGCAACACTAAGACAAAATGCATGTAAAGTGTTCATTAACATATACTTATTCTGCTCTATCTAATTAGCCCCAGGTCCTTGGCACAGTATTTAAATACAACTTCTCAATAAAAGATTCAGGGAAAAACGTCAGCTGACTGCAAATGTATCTAGAAGGAGCATGACTGACTGAAGGCTGGAGTCACTATTTTTTCTGACAATATATGTACACCCATCTCAGAGCATGGCTTGTCCTTTCTCACTGTCACTTTCCCTTCAACCTGAGAGAGAGAGAGATCTGTGGAGAGCCACTGGAGTCACTAGAGAGCCCTCTCGTTAAATGGGCAAGAGAGAACAAAAGGAGAGTTAACGACATGCAGAATAAATCTTTTGTCTTCACATCTGGTCATGATTCACAGTCAAGGTAGAAATTGCAGGCATTAATCTAGACTAGGTACTTGAAAACTATCCCAGGTACTGATTTTCTGTGTTGAAAAAAACTGTCAGATTAAGATATGAGCAAAAAATAAAAACATATCTTTATTCCTATTATCTTTACATTAGTAATGCTATTATTAAGGCAGCTTCATAAATTTGCTTTGAACACACAAAAAGAAACTGAAAATCCACTTATGGAAACACAATAACAGAAAGACAGAGATACCGCCCACCATAGAAATTACAGCATCAAAATTTCACAATACAATTGACACCCGAACTATCTTCTACCTTAATATACTGTATTTGTTTGTGCTGCACTAACTTTGGACAAAGACAAGAATCTACTGCAAACAAGGTTAGCGTGTATGTAACAGATAATTAAATAAATGGCCTTAACCTTGTAACCAAGAAAGACAAACAAATAATCAAAATCTCAGTATTTTACCTAAATATATTGATGAAAAAATACTTGCTCTATCAAGCCTAAAAGGGAAGGAATGTATTTAGTATCTAACCTGATACCTCCTAGTGCTATTCCCAGTTTTGAACAGTTGGGCACATGTGATTTTCAACAACTGAAGAACCTCTGTTCTGAGGACTACAGACTAATTTAAAGAGAAGATGGGAGGAGAAAAAAAAAAAATAAGACAACAAGCAGAACTGCCAAGGACAAGAACTGCACTGGTTCAGCAGGAAATAGCCATGGTATGGTTTCAGTCCAAGAGGATGATTAAATAACTCCAGTAAGTAAGCGTTTCCCATAACGACAGTACCTTGCATCTGCTGCATGAGTAAGGCCCGCTGAAGCATAGGATTGGCATTGAGCAGCGATGGCTGATTTGTTGCCCGTAAGCTCAGCATCTGTTGCTGCTGCGGCGGCGGCAAACCCCTGGAAAAGAAGGTATCAATCATGAGAACCCAACAAAAACTGTACCCTTCTATTTCAGGCACCCAGCAAGCATAAAACAGAGGGGCAAACAGCTGAAAGGCTGATATACATGCATTAAAAGGCACCATGCACTGGCACTGTATCCTCTTTCCTCCGCTCTCCTGGAATTTCCAAAGCTGACAGATTGTCTATCAAAGAATTTGAGGTCAGAGACAACTCCTTAGCACCAAGCCCACATAGAGCCTCCTAAGCAGCATAAAAAAAGCCCAGAAGCTGACTGCGGTTCTACAGAATTATGCAGCACCCATCAGGAGAAATGAGTGATCTAGATCAGCAGCTACATTTAACACGACAACAAAAAAGTTCTAAAAAACAGGGAGTTTTCGCAGTAGCTTAGAGCTCATTCTCCCAAAATCAACACCTCCCACACGGAGCCAGACAGGTCAGAACTGTCAGTGGTGCCCCCTAACTGCAAGAACCAGATGGAAAAATAAAGCACGGCCTTCATATTTAAAACACGAAGAGGAAGAAGCAGCAGGGAAGAACTCTCCAGTTCTAAGGAGGGTGGAGCAGATGCGAGAGAAAAGTCTGAGGAAACTGGCAGGCACTTCTTCAGGCGATTGCAAGGTCAGGCCCACCTCTATGCACGCTGCTGACACAGCTAAATCTGTCAGAGCTGAAGAGAGGTACAAACACGGATCGAAATATCCACCCTGACAAAAAAACCCAACTCCTTTAACAGAATTCACAGCAGCTCATCTTCACATTTGCTGCTCTAGATTGTTCCAGTCTCTGAGCTATTTATACCACAAAAACCATACTTTTATAGGTGCAAGATGCATCCGTGCTATCTAGCAGTCAGCCCCTTACAGGCATGTTAAGAGCAGCTTTTTTTATAGTATAAAACATATAAAAATGGTAAAAAGATTTGCAGGTTCATATTTCTAGTAAAACAGAAAAATTCCCACGCTTACCTCAGAGACAAATGCCTTATAAGGATAAAGTAATACAGTAATTCCTTAAATAACAAATTAAATTTCTTCCTACATTCACATCCCTTTGCTTTGAATTTGCAAAGAATGTGGCTTTAAAGATAACAGTAACTGCAAATAAATGCATTATTTTGGAGAATATGTGTTGGTTTCACAAGTCTCGGCTCATCGGGGACAACTGCTCCTATTTAAGTTGTTTCGCATCCTGCATTTTTTAGGAAAACCGTGGTTATTTTCTGGCAAATGTTCTTTCTCCTTTCACAAACAAAACACAATTTTCTCCATCCCCTGCCTGCCCCACCGTGCTCAGCCACAGCCTTAGCGCTGGTGCCACTGCAGAAACAAGTTCAATCATCGCACCCACACCAGCAGACCCAGCTAGAGAAAGCAAATAAATAAACAGCTTAAGTTCAACACTAAAACAATAAAGTGCTCGTGTCTGCTGAGGGTGGCTGTGCTGAGCGTTGTGTTTCTGCAGAAGGCGTTTTCCCCGAGCCCCGGCTGCCCTGCCCGCCCTGAGGGGCGACGCTCGGCTCGGAGCACCCACCCACCGCCCCTACACGGCCTGCCCGGGTCACCCACGGGCTCTCGGGGCCTCCAGCCCCGGACGGCGGACAGGGATCCCCGGAGCGCTGAGGGGACGCGGCCAAAGACCCCACAGGGGCCGCCGCCCTCCCTCCCACACCCGCGGCCCCCTCGGTGCCTCCAGGCGCTGCCCCGACCGAGGCCCGCGCCCCCCAACCCCGGCCCGCCTCCCTTTGTCGCCTTCCCCACCAGGGGAGGGCAGCCCCGCACCGGCCCCGCCGCGGCGAGCAAGGACGGAGCGCAGGGAGGCGGAGGAGAGCGGTCCCCCGGGACAGGCCCCGGATCCCCGGCCTCGCGTAGCGACGCTTACCGGCCTCCCTGCTGCGCCGGAGGGTGGTGATGGTGCTGCTGCTGCTGCTGCTGGAGGAGGTGCTGGAGCTGCAGCAGCTGCTGCTGGAACTGCTGCTGGTTGAACATGTCTGGGGAGCCCCGAGCGAGGCGAGCCTGAGACAAAATACGGGAGGGCGAGGGTGGCACCGGCTGCGGGGCTGGCGCGTATCAGCCCAGCAGCCATTGAGCAGAGGAGCCGCCGCCGCTGCCGCCCATTCATTCACTGAGCCGAACCCCCCCTGCCGCCTCCTCCTTTCCCCCGGGGTCATCGCAAGCGGCAGCCTGTGGAAGAGGTTTCCAAACCCCACCTCCCAAAACCCGCTCCCACCCTCCCCGTCCCGCTCCCCGCGGCGGGGCCGCGCCGAGACCCGCAGCCGCTTCCCGTCCCTTCGCCCGCTCGCCCCGCCGACACTCACGGCGCAGCCCGCGGCGATCAGCGCTCCCCGCCCGCCGCCTCCATCTTCCCGCCGGGCACAACCAGCACCTGCCCGGCCCCGCTCCCCGGCCCAGCCCCGGCGGGAGGCAGCTCCCTGGGCAGGGCTGTAGGACACGGCCGCCCCCGCGGGGCTGGGGATCACCCCGGAGCCTCCTCTCAGGTCGCCCCAGCCCGCAGCGCCTCCATCCCTCATTCCCCGCGCAGAGGCGGCATTGAAGTCCCCTGTCCCTCGAGGGCTGGGAGGGAATGGACACCATCTGCCCAGGGTTGGGCAGGGAATAGTCTGCTCTACAGGAGCAGCAGATGGCATCCAACAGCGTGGGCTTTCCGCTCTTTGTTTTTTTTGGGTTTTTTTTTTGTTTGTTTATTTGTTTGTTTGGTGTGGTTTTTTGGTTTTGTTTTAGGTTTTTTGTTTGTTTTTGTTTTTGTTTTTTTTTGGTTGGTTGGTTTTTTCCGGTGTTTTTTGGTGTTTTTTTTAATAGTCCAGGGGAATCTTTGGTAACCATCTCACCGAGAAGATGGGAAAAAAACCCAAAGAAGCCAAAGCAGCCTCTGGCAATTTACTGTGGTCACATTTTTGCAAGCCTATTATGAGAATCTGGAAGAAAACCAACAGGGACTTTTGTAATATTGCTTTATGCTGTAGACTTAGATGACTTCTCTAGCAGGTCCATCCCCCCCTTTTTTTTTGTTTGTTTGGTTGGTTGGTTTGTTTTGGGATTTTTTGGCAGGGGATGGGTTTGCAGCAAAACCTTTCCTGCATGGCCTGTTTTCCATAGCAAAATTAATCTTAAGCGCTTTCAGTACACACAAGCTCTCTATGAAAATTTACTGTGACTATCATTTCTTCGTATGCTAAACCTCAGAAGGATCAAGAGGCATCTCTGATCCTTGCTATTCCAAAGAATCCATCCTGAAATAATTTACTTTATAGTCTTTTTATTCATGCCAGTAAAGATTACTTGATTCCTAAAGTCCTTGGAATTGATTTTTACCTGAAAGCATTATAAGATGAACACAGACAGTTACTGGTGATATACAGTTATGATTAGTAATTTTAAATGCAGCAGCATTATGTTGATTTTTCCTTTGGTCCTTTCTATACCATCCTGATTTTCTAATCTTGAATTTGGAGATGATCATCTGTATTAATCAATGATGGGCTCTGTTCATGTCCAGAGCCCTTTATGGCTGTCTGCACACAGAGAAAATGATTTCCTGTTAAGCATGAAAACTTAAATGTCATCCTAGGGAACATACATACGGAGAAAAAAACATGCATGGAGTCTTTTAAAAATAATTTTGCATAATTCATCCTCTGCTCCTGTAATTGTGCTGTTAGAGCAGCCAATGGCCTGGCTGCTTTGCAGCAGTGGGGGTGAGGGTTAATCCTACAATCTCAGTATATAAATTAGCCATACCTGAGAAAAGCAGAATTCAGGTTGTATAGATAAATGTAAATCTGAAATTGATGTTCTCTGTTCGTAATTCTACAACTAAAACGCTTGTAAGTATTCTTTGTATGTTACATTTGGAAATCTACAAACTGCCATACTAATTAAATATGCAAGTAACTAAGTTTATTCGCTGTTAGATTTTATGTTCTGACATAGTCTAGAGGCTGCCCTCATAGACTGGGCTTTTCTCTCTGAGGCCCTACATACAAATCATTAAATAAACAACATTTTTGAATTTATAAATAGTCCATAGGTCTACTGCCTTGAACACAAATCTGGACACTAAATCTGGATTTAGTCCTGTGCCTGTACAACACAAGACAGGATTATGGCTATAGGAAGCAAAAAAAGATGTGCTGGTCCATCAACCTACAACCCAAAGACTGATTTTAGACATGTCTTTAGGTCCAAATATGAACATCACACCTATCAAAGAAGGTTTAATTGAATGCAGAAGATAAAACTCCAGTTTAATGTAATCACACCATTTACTTTGAAAGTCATACAGAGATATAAGGGAACTGCAGAAAATTGGGTTAGGATCCTTTCCTTCATTACAAGCAACAAAACAGTGTGTCAGGCTGACAGCTGAAAGGTGCTGTCAGTGCCCAGTGATCATTGGAACGCAGACCTTGAGGTGCCATCCACTGACAGTTGTTTTTTCCTGCAAAGAACATCTCCCTTTCAATAATTAAGCATCTCACTACTCAGTGTGCAGTGGCAAATACATAATGGGAGAATACACAGAACTTCAAAAAGAGGCACAATGCAGACTACAGCATTATCACTCAAAACCAACCCATGTATCCCCTAGGCTTGGGAGTGCCTCATTGGCAATGGGAATGAATGAAACAGAGTAAGATTTAGAAGTTCAAGCTAAGAGAAGGACCAGAGAACATCCTGCATTGCAGAGACTAGTCAGTGGAGTTGTTGGATCATGACTGTAAGGCAACCTGCACTACACCTCTGTATGATTAGATCAGGGTTATGAAATCCTTTGGCAGATAAGAGGACAGAGCATATGAATGCTTTTTATTCAGGAGCTGGATTGTATTATACAGCCAAGTTCTTGCTGGGCTATATGAATTTTTTTCCAGGGATCAGGCATGCAGATAACCAGAGATTTCTAATTTCCAGCATATGACTGCACTGTGCAGTTTTATGTTTTAATTTTGGCTTTGAAAAAGACTTGGTATGCAACCCTTGGTGAAGCCACATCACTTTTGAAAACCCAAGTTTCTCAGCGCCTATGACAGCACCAACATACTGCAGTGCCCACAATTTCCTCTGCAATCTGCAAGGATGGTGTGATTACTCATCCATTTCACCAGGATATAACTAGTTCTCACCATAATGTATTTAAGCCTCACAAACTTCTTGGAGAAAAAGCATATGGAGCTTTAAAGTACTTTCTTTTCCTAGTTTGGGGGTCTATGTATTGAAAGAATGGGTCAGGTTTCACCAGACATGGTCTTAACAGCTGATATTAGTTACTGGAATTACACTGTTTTTCCATGTCTGTTTTAGCTGGAGGATGACTGGATTCACACAACATTTCAAACCAAAATGATCTGTGCATTAAAGGATGTTTTCCCTCATTCTTTGTAATGTAGTTCTAGAAACCTAGTCCTAGTCCTTGACAGGCCCACAAGAGGTAAAAATAGTTTTTACATCCATTTTACCATGTGGTCAATCAGCTCCTATTAGCGACTTTCAGTCTCACAAGCTAAAATATATACCAGGAGCTATTTTATGACATCTACAGGATGCAGAAAGCACAGAGAACTCATCTTTGTTGCTCTTAAAATATTAATTTAAAATCACATCCATGCACAGATCCCATTCTTAATGGAGTATAACATTCAGCTTCTTTCTTTCCTTATGTATACTCTGGCTTCTGGCAAGTTACACTCACAATAATACTGTCCTAGTGTCTTATACACCAGATTTACCTTCTTTTACCTCTTTTTGGGGGATTTTCACACCAATTCAGTTTAAGCACAGAAGATGCAGAAGCATCTCACTATGTTATTCTACAAAGAAAAGCATTCTATTTGAAAACTCAAAAATTAAAGACTGCTTTTCTTTCAAATAGCTTTTGCAATTAATAGGAGCATTAGAAATCAACTTTTTTTCTCTGAGTAACTGATACCACAAGAGATTGATGATGTTACTGTGGTACCATTGCTACTATAGTAGCACTTTAGTACCTAGAAAATAGATACTTAAGCGTTTTCTATCTCTATATGCAGCTTTAGATAGTTGTGGAAATGTAAGAGGCTAATTTTAGTTAATATTTTTAACTATTGATCAGCTGTATCATGTAGTATTAGTATGGACAATGACAATCCTAGACCAGTTTCTTTTTGGAACTTTTAACCATTCAATTAAAATTTTTACCTGTGTTTATAACCATTTTTAGGAACCCCAAAGGCCAGAATTATCCACTTCAAGACCCACAGTGAAATGTTCTAAACATTCACACTACCTGGAGTCAGCAGAAACAGTTTGCAAGGAACTTAGAAACTCATAAGCTAATTGCTTTCCACATTTTTGCCTCTTTTTTCCTCTGAGGACTAGATATGTTATTTTTGCAAGGGCAAGGAATGAAGGACAGAATCCAGCTCTCAAATGTCTATTTCTAATTATGCTAACTAAACTGGGAGTCCTATTTGCATGAGGTGACAAAATCAGCATACACAACTGTGGTTATGTTGATAGCCATACATAGAAACACACATATGCTTGGCCACATGCATTTTTAGGGATTCATGTTAAAGTACATTCAGAAATATTTATAGCACAGGGCGGGGGGAATCTTTCATTCCTCTTGTTTTTCTTTGCTCACATCTTCAGTTTTTCTACTAAGATAAAAAAATAGATTTTTCCTATTCATTCCAGTTATTGAAATTCCTTTTGTTTTTCCTGCTCTGTCTGCTAAATGCTGCTGAGTAAGTCACAGGTAGGAGGTATTACAGAATCAAAAGGTATGTTTGCTGAGACATCCCTGCAACTCAGTTTGTGGCAGGGGAGAAAATGGAAGGCTCTAGGAGCGATTCCGAGTGCCTGCAGTTCGCTTTTTCATCAGAGGGAGGAGTAGGTTCGTAAAGCTTCAGAAAATCCGAGCCTCGCTGTCTGGGATGCTCGGGGTCAGTCTCTCTGGGCTGGGCGGCTGCAGTCGCTGCAGAAGCGTCCAGACTTCACACTGTAAATGAGTGGTTTAGGGTGATGCTGCAGGCAGACACACTGGAGCTCATCTGCTTACAAAAAGCTCTGCAGGACAAAGAAGCTGGAGCAGATTCTGTGCATCTCTTAGTTTTACACTAATACTGATCCATGCAAAATTCGCCAATATTTCTGCATGTTTTTCCAATTCCATAATTTCTTTTATTGCTTTCTTGTGTGCCTGGAGAGCACCCTATTAGCTCCTCTCATCCCTCCTGTCCAGTTTTGCCCTTTAAGATTTCAATAATGCCAAAACCCCTCATATATCCCCCAAAGGACCACATTTCCTAAGAACTAAGTATTAGTTTAATGGAAAAATAAAACTAGATAGTGTAGGAAAAATCACCTGCAAAGAAGTCATGCATGAGCCTTTATACTGTATGAGCTCCTTAACTGGCAATATAAATCTTATTTTTCCCCTCAGTCTTCAACATCAGCTGTTGATATATTATATTTTCAATAGTCTGTCACAAACATTTCTCAAAGAAAATGGATTAGTTTCATTTTAGCTTTTCCAAAAGAAATATCACCTGAATGATTAGTTCTAGAGCTGACTCAACCAGAACAAAATATCTACCCAGTGTACATGGGGATGAAGCTAAGGAGTCAACCTATGTGTGAAAGCCAGACCCAAAGACTCCATAGGCTGCAACCAGAGACAAACACGTCTCCATAAGTCAGCAGGACTGATGGCCCACCCAGGTCCACAGATGTGGGGGGAAGCCCCAGGTGAGGCTGGCCATGGCCACTGAGAGTTTTTAGTACAGCTGGTAAATTGTGTGAGGTGACTGAAGTGATGCAACTGGGCAGTCTTTGTATTGCAGTTGGTGAACTTCACGGTACAGCGAGCCCTGGGAAAAGGTCAGTTTTCTGCTTTTGGTTCCTCAAATAAAGCTTCAAAGATCCTCATGGTCTAAAGTTCCCTGAGCTTCAGCTCTGATCCAGGGAGGAAGGTGACATCATTATTTGAGCCTTTGATACTCTTCACTGTTCTTTTTGTGGTGACCTCTTACAAGGAGCAGCTATCTATAGCAGTTTTTTTCCAGAATCCTTCAACATAAATTATCTGAATGGCTGCAGGGATGCTCAAAGGCTTTTGTCCACAGTCTATATTGAATTCCTTAAGCTTATTTCTTGAGATTTACTGGGTAATTTGCTGAGAGGAAAAAATAGCATTGACAGCCCCCAAAACTGCCCACGTATGCCCTACAATGGTGTTACCCGTACAGATGGAGCAGCTCCCTTCCCTTCCTTCAGTGTTCTTACCTGCACATTGGTGATGTGCTAGAGCATGGGGCAAATTCATCCCTCACCATGGTTGCCTCAGTTTCTCTGTATGTCCACATAGGTATTTTTGCATGGATTAAATTTGATGGACACCTGTGAAATAGTCATTATAATTATTATAACTAAAAAGCTGCTGTACAAAACAAAACAGACAGCTCAAAATCTGTTGCAGTTTTTTGTACTTCATTTCCCCCTCCACCCCCATCTCTCTCTGAGCTGTGAATAGGAGTCTTGGGTAGCACGAACTGAGGGGTGTTTGAAATGCGACACTCTCCATCCTTCTGAGTCATTGCTAGCCATCAGATGCTTTTTTGAACACTTGTTTTCATTGCTGTACTTTGAAATCAAATATGGCCTCATGTTATATTCTTATTAAAAATCTATCCCTTTTAAAAACCATAAAACCAAGCTGTTCCCTCTTTATTGCAGACAAGTAATTTTAAAAACAAAATCTGGGTGCATAAAATGAAGCACCTGTTTGTGTTTCTCTAAAACAAGCCTGGCAACACATCCACTGTTTTACAGCTATAAACAGAAATTGATACATTTTACATCTGTGTTTGAATGAAGCATCAGAATCATAGAATGGGTTGGAAGAGACCTTAAAAAAAATCTTATTTTAACCTCTGCCATCTTATTCTAGCCAGATGCTCAGAGAGTGGTAGCATTTTTGCAAAGCTCCAGTTTAGTAATCTCAAGTGTTTCTTGCATTTTGGTGATTTCACAAGTGCTGTCTCCACACAAAGCCCTCCCATACAGGTGCTGTGACCAAGCCATGGCGCACTGAGTAAACGTTGCGGCTGTGAGGATCACAAAGTGCAGGTGTAGGAGCCGAGCCAAGTGGGTTCTTCCAGCACATCTTCCCTGCCCGCTGCAGCGCTGCACGGCTGGCGGCAGTGACCGCCACAGGGCTTCGGCACCGTGCGGGGCTCACCCACAGGTACACCGGGACTGACTGCGGGGCCAGCACACCCACACCGGCTGGGCCACGCCGGTGTGCCAACCTGCCGCACACAGAGGCAGCCCCGGGTAACCTGCACTGCTCTGGTTCTGGGAGCGAGCCCCGTTCCCAGGTCTCTGGGCACAGACACCAGGGCCGCGCCGCCCCGATCCCGGCCCCCTCGGCCCCTCACGGCCGCCGGACTACATCTCCCGGGATGCAGCGCGGCGCCGGTACCTTTAACGCCCCCTGGCGGCAGCACGGGGCGCTCCACAGGCGCGGCGGGCGGGCTGAGGCGAGCGGAGCCCGGGCGGCGTCGAGCGGGGCGAGGGGCGCGGGCTGGAGCCGCTGCCCACCGGCCCCACAGCCGGGGAGGGCTGCGGGAAGGGTTAGTGCGAGCTCGCCTGTGCCAAGAGCCGTGCCGGAACCATGGGGAACCGCGGGATGGAGGATCTCATCCCGCTGGTCAACCGGCTGCAGGACGCCTTCGCCGCCATCGGGCAGAACGCCAACCTCGACCTGCCGCAGATCGCCGTGGTGGGGGGGCAGAGCGCCGGCAAGAGCTCCGTGCTGGAGAATTTCGTCGGGAGGTGAGCGGGGGTGTCCCCGGGGGCGCGGGCAGAGCTGCCGCATGGCCAGCGCGGTGCGGGGGCAGCGCCGCGGGGTCCGCGGGCAGCGGCTCCGCGCGGGCAGCGGCTCCGCACGGGCAGCGGCTCCGCGCGGGCAGCGGCTCCGCACGGGCAGCGGCTCCGCGCAGGCAGCGCGGTGCGGGGACCGCGCGGGCAGCGGCTCCGCGCGGGCAGCGGCTCCGCGCAGGCAGCGCGGTGCGGGGACCGCGCGGGCAGCGGCTCCGCGCGGGCAGCGGCTCCGCACGGGCAGCGCGGTGCGGGCGCTCTGGCCGCGGTGCGGGGACCGCGCGGAGCGGGGACTGCGCTCCGCTCGCGGCTACTCCGCTCGGCGCGTGTGTGGTGCGCGGGCAGCGCTGCAGGACGCCCGGGCGCTGCGGTGCAGGGGTACGGGGAGGCGCGGGAGGAAGGCAGGGAGGGAGGGCTGGCTCCCCGCCTGGGGGCATTCCGCAGCGGGGTCCCCGCCACTGCCGCACCTTGGCGGCCGGTGGCAGCCCCCCCTTGTCCTGGTGTTACATAACGGAGGAGGCTGAAGGGGCTGTGGGGGCCGGCCCCATCCGTCCCCTGCTCGGTGCGGGGCTCAGAGATGGATGTTGTCGCTGCGGGGGGAGTGATGCGGAGGGTGTTTAAGTTTAATCTGCTCCGTCCCCCTCCCCCAGCCCAGGCTCGCTGTCCTCCATAGCGGATGCCATGTCAGGAGCTGCGGGGAGGCTATAGGAAGGACGGGGTTATAGCTATCCTATATGCTCAAATCCCCGGGTGCTACCATTTTGTGGCAGGCAATATACTGATGCTTTCCCTTCATGTGACCTTCGCATTCATCATCTGCAACTTGAGTAAATTGCAGACCGCGCTGCTTGGGTATCTCCTCCAGTGCAGACACACAACACCTGGAGGGAGGGGGGGAACGTTCCTCACCTTTTTTCTGGCCTTGTTAATTAATTGTATTAAGTTATATACGGGTTTTAGTTATCAAAGTGGTTTTTTATGCTGTAAGGAGTACGCAGGTTTCTGGTGACTTGCCTTAAGAGCAGTGATTGCTGATACCTGGTCAGATGCTTGCGTGGGCTTTTCTCTTTCAGCAAACTGCATTTGTGACAACATCTACTGGATCTCATTTCCCAACCCCCACTTTTTCTTTTAAGCTGTTTGCTGTTCGATGGCTTATAGGGCTTTTCCACTGTCAGAAGGGTCTGTGGTGTGGATTAACTGCTTGCTTAGCTGCAAGTAGCCAAATTCTGGACCCGTGCAAGGGTATCTTTGAGCAGTGAGTGCTGGGTGTACTAGGAGGAAGGCTCAGGGGTTACATCTGGTACAAAGAAAGCATGGTCAAAATAAAATGTTTTCTTCTCTGCCATAGATCAAAGAGTTTTGAAAAAATAAGAATATAAAATTTGAAGAGTTTGGTATCTCTTCTAGCTAACTTCCAAAGGTCCATGCAGTGTATCCCTGAGAGATGCTGGGATCATGCCAAGGGCCAGACATTGCAGAAACACATTTTACTGAGTCTCAGGTCATAGTCCAGAATCCACTTGTTTGTCCACAGTCACAGAAAAGAAATAAAATTCCTGCCACCCAAGTGAGAAACTTGCTGGGCTGTGGCTTTCGAAGAAGGGGAAAATGGATCTTCTGAAGTCTTTGAGCAAAATGGGTTCACCTGTTGGCCCTGCTGTTTTCATGCTTTCTAAGTACTGGCAGTCAAAGCTCATAAATCCTTTTTAGAGGATCTGTGCAGGCAGTGCTGCAGTGGTGTCGTAGATAATGTCGGGCTGCTGGGCCAGAGGGGGATTTGTTGGAGGAAGGACAGTCAGTGTATTGGGGTAAACTGCTCCTCTCCTTTAGACCAACCACACAAGAGGATTTACTAATCCTTGATGCATCTACACTGGCACTAATTTAGAATGGGATTTTATCTGCTTGGTGGAAAATATATGAATTCAATTATCTTCTGTCTCTTTCTGATGACTCCAGTCACAGGAGAACTTATGACCTCACCGTGTCCCATCAGCTGTCTCTCTAGCAGCAAGTTACAGCGCTGTGGCTTTTCGAAAATGAAATAATTAAAGGTCCCCTGAGCAGGAGCTGAGAGCTGTCGGTAGAAAAGCATTTAGAGGAAATAATTGGAGGGGAAATGGAAAATGTCAGTGTGAAGAGGTCTTTCTCCATTTGATACCCCTGAGTGCTGGCTAGTTTAGACTGGTAACTTGAGACCTCTTACCACATAATGTATGTGTATATGCTGCAAATCCCAATCCTGTTAAAATAGTGTTGGGGCCCTGCTGTAATGTATAGTCTCTTTTCTTTCTCTGTGGGTATTGGTAACCATGATAAGGAGCTATGGAAATAGTATCCAGAATGAGCATGGTTCTTCAGTGTAATTGTGATAGGGGATGTTTTCTTGTCTGAACAGCCATAAGAAGAAACTGTGTGTAGACCTACTGTGTACAAATATAATTATTGCTGTAGTGTGGACATGACATATGTCACTGCTCCTGCTTGATACCAGGATGGTGGTGCAGCTATTGCTCAGCAGCTGCTTGCTGCACAGGGAATGTGAGTACTGATGAGTTTCTCTCTGAGCGGATGGAAATCTGTGCAAGACCAAATGCTGATGTGGTTGGTACTGGCTGATTAGCATGATGCAGACACTTCAGCACAGGGGCTGGAGGCCCTGCCAGGGCTGGTTTCTCTGCTCAGGACCTGTGGGGCTCCTTTCAAATTGTCATCAAATCACGTTTCCCTAACAGGACAGCACACCTGCCCCCTGCCAGACCTGTGTTGTGGCAGGGCTTCAGTCCAGGGCTGCTGCAGGCACCTTGCAGTAGCACTGAGTCCCACATTCAGTGGAAACCTACGAGCAGGGAGGAGTGATACTGCCTGCAATCACTGTTTAGTTACATGTCATACCAAACAAATATTTTTTTTCCTCCTGAATTCAGTGGCTTACTAGTTGCTGCTAATTGCATTTTTGGTGACACTTCCTCTGCTGTTAACAGATTATCCAACAGTGCAGAGCTTGTATTTATAATACCAGATGTCAGTGTGGCTGCTATGTGTGCTTTTGCTGCTGGAATCTCAGCGTGGTGACTCGGATACCGGCTGGTGGTGATAAAATTGCTGAAGAAACAAGAAGCCATGTAGAAGCCAGACAGGTGACACATCTGTCCACAGACTGGTTTGTCCTGGGCCCCAGAACTGGAAGGAAGGTTAATTGTGTGAGCTCCAGGCATTTCCTGTTGGTGTGGTTATAAGCTTGTAGGATAACTCGGGTTGGAAGGGACTTCAGTGATCATTTTGTCCGTTCTTAAGGTGTCATTGCTTCCCTACAGCATCCTTTTCTAAATAAATAGGTCTTGGAGCTGGCAACTGTACCAGCAAAATTGGTCTGATAAAAAGAACAAAGCATGTGGTATGTGCTAATTTGACTTAAGAGCCCAAATGACTGAGGAGATTGTATGAGACAGCCCACAAGGCTGTTTGTATAATCATCCCTGTTCATGCCACTCTTACTTTACCATGTGAAAATAACAAATATGCTTTCTTTGAATCCTGTGATCTCAGAGCACTGTTACACAAATCTTTGGGTTTCTGGGAGTATTGCTGTTACCTGTGCTTTACGAACAGGAGAACTGAAAGCACTGGGCTGTGTTCAGCTGGTTCCTGGAATGGCTGTGCCTTGTGGTGGTGTCTGATCCAAGGCAGGGTGCTGCTCAGCCCTGTGGGACAGCTGCATTGCTCTTCCTAGGGAAAACAAGGCACCTCTGACTTCTCCAGAACATAGAGTTTCAGGGGGCTGCTGAGGAGGCAGTGACTAAGGACTGGGAACAGTGGGTGGAAGGACTTGAATGGAGATGAAACCATCTTGTTTATGATCAAGGGACCTAAGCAGTGCCAAACTTGTGTGAAATGAATCAGTGTTTACTTGACCTCGGACCTGATCTGGAATCTGGTACCCTACAAGCATTTTCTCTTGGAGGCTGTGCACCCAAAATAGGGGTACTTACCAGTCTGTTGCCAGGCTCTGATGGTATATGCTGAATTCCCTGATGTTTGTGTGTTGCCTAGAAGGAATCACATGTGTGGCCTACAGGTGTGGGCCTAAACTCAACCATGTTGGGCTAACCTTGCCTCTCCTAACAATGAAATTTCCATATGGGTAGAAGAGCAGGGAAAATGCAGCACTGCAATGCCTTTGTCAGTCAAAAGGCTAAATACTCATTAGGCATAGCTGCAGTAAGATGTGACAAAATCAGGCACGGGCCTAGCAGTAAGTGTCTCTTTGCCATAATGGTGATGCAAAACTAGATCCTGAAGCCAAAGGGTTTAGTTTGGCTTCAGGTATAACTTTGAGGAGCAACTTAATACCTTCCACAGTCATTTGGAGATAAATACACCCCCAAGATATGATGAGGGAATGCCTTCCTTGATAATGCATACTTTGCTTTATTATGGAAGCTTCCGCAGAAAAATACCTTCAGAGACCAACAGCAGTGTTTAGCAACTATGTAGAAGTGAAGGATCCTAAAGGGATGCATAAAGAGATCCAGATACTTGGCCTGTTCCTGCAGGAAAACTGTTTTGTTGATGATCTTTGTACTTTTAAGTTGCTCAGGCTTCTGCTGCAGTATGTGGTTAATGAGCTTGAGTGTTGAGGACTGAGTGTTCAAATATTGTAAAATAGCTACATTATGTATAGATTGGGAATGTCTGTTGTACTGGACAATGCTGAGCATCACTGCAGTACTTCAGGAGCAGATTTAAATTTAAACAAGAAGATACATTCATGACACGTGCTTTGGCCACAAAAGAGGTTCTTAAGAGTGATTCTTCTAAATTTTTGAGGGTTCTGATTTGAGATGTGTGCTGGCAGAGAGATGATTAATTGCAAATCATGGACCTTTAATTGTTGTATGATAAATACATCTGTGAGCCAGTCAAATTCTTTTGTCTATTTGCAGCTTATA